TCTCAAGGGATGCCTCTGAGGGGAGGAGAGAAGCAGGATGGAGCAAGGGAGGAACTAGACAAGAGGAGTGCATGGCTCAGGGCTGGACCAGCTTTGGACCTTCAGACCACATGGCATTTCTGTAAAGAGCCATGCAGGAATAGGGCTACTTTCTCTCTATATCCTGAGTCCTCTAGGAGAGATGCTGGAGCCCTGAGCCCTGCGCCCACTTTCTGTGAAGGACGAGAGAGGTCTATGAGCCGCAGGGTCTCAGTTACCATGACTGGAGGCAACACTGTAAGGTGCTGGGGATTGGACTGGATGCCAACGTACAGAACACGCTCTCCCGCCCTCCGGCTGTCTGCTCTGGTCCATATCGGCTAACTTTGAACATGAGCAGTTTCAGTGGGATTCCATGGTCTCCAACCTCATCAGAATGCATTCGAGAGAAAAAGAGGGCCAGGGATACAGCTCAGCAGAGGAGCGCTGGCCCTGCATGCATGAGGCTCTGGGTTCAATCTCCAGCATGGCGAAGACAAACATAGAGAGGGAAGGGACTGGACGGCACAAGTACACTTTCTAGTTTGCTGGAAGGGGCACTGAGTAATGGAGGGGGAGCTAAAGAATGAGGTAGTCAATGCATTCATTTGTGGTATATATAAATATATATACATACATATACATATATATACACACACACACACACACACACACACACACAGTTTTGGACAAACTGGCAGGCTACCAAATGTAACCTGCCCACACGGCAGAGTCTGGCAAACTCCCTGTGGCGTACCCAATATGCCAAATACCAGTAACAATGATGGGTCTCATTCTCCTAACCCTGAAAGAGGCTTGAATATGGCACTTTTTAAAAAATCTCAGGGCTAGGACGAAGGAGACGTTACTGGGGCCTGCTCGAGGCAATCGATGAATAACAGGATGGTCGTGATCGTGATCTACACACAGTGGAAGACTAATAGTCATAGTGTCTTGGGAAAAGGCTAGGAGGACTGGTCAATGGTTGGAACTAGCCACAACTGTGTGTGGGGCTGAGGGTACGTAAGATAGAGAAGAGACTGGTATAACCGTAGCAGCTGAAAATGATCATGCTGGACAAGATCTGAGAGCTAAAATTAGGTAAAGGGGGGCTGGAGCGATAGCGCAGCGGGTAGGGCGTTTGCCTTGCACACGGCTGACCCAGGTTCGATGCCCAACATCCCATATGGTCCCCTGAGCACCGCCAGGAGTGATTCCTGAGTGCAGAGCCAGGAGCAACTCCTGAGCATCGCCAAAAAGCCAAAATATATAACATATATATTCCTTCACCTACTTTTTTTTGCTTTCTTGGGTCACACCCGGCGATGCACAGGGGTTATTCCTGGCTCTGGACTTCGGCACTCAGGAATTACCCCTGGCGGTGCTCAGAGGACCATATGGAATGCTGGGAATTGAACCTGGGTTGACTGCGTGCAAGGCAAATGCCCTACCCACTGTGCTATTGCTCCAACCCCAGTAAAGGGATATTCTTGAAAACCTTTCAGTATCAATATTGCAAACCACAATGCCCAAAAGGAGAGGGGTGGGGGGGGGGGAAGAGAGAGAGAGAGAGAGAGAGAGAGAGAGAGAGAGAGAGAGAGAGAGAGAGAGAGAAAGCACCTGCCACAAAGGCAGGCAGGGGGTGGGGGTAGAGGGTGATGGGAGGGAACCTGGGGACACTGGTGCTGGGAAACGCACACTGGTGGAGAGAATGGGTGTTGGAATACTGTATGACTGAAATCCAATCATGAACATCTTTGTAAGGGTCTATCTCACAGTGATTCAATAAAAAAGTTTTTTTCAAAAAAGAATGAGGTCATCAAGAGAGGTTTTGGGTTGAAAGGAATTGTAACATGCTAGTGCACATGTTGTAGTAGAGGGAGAAAAAAAATGATGTTGCCAAAGGGGAGAACCATGGGGTGACAGGCTGAGCAGATAAAGTTCTAACATCTGAAGCAAAGAGGAGAAGGGTGAGAGCTCAACCATGCCACAGAGAGAAGGCAGAACTTGCACACAAAGCAGGAAAGGTTCACGGACACAGTTTATTGGTGCTTCCCTGAAAGCTTCTTTATTCTCCTCAAACTCCTAAGACCGTCAGCTGACAGTTTGGAGGGTTGAGAAAGGAAGCGGAGAGCGCTGAACCTGGAGAGGCGGCATGCAGGGCTTTTTGTTTTCTTTTCTTTGGGGGCCACACCCCGCGATGCTACTGGGGCTACTTCCTGCTGTGTGCTGGTGGCGCTACTCCTGGCACTGGGCAGAGATTGCTCTGGGGGGCCCTAGCGGTGCTGTGGATTATCAGGTCTCTGGAGAGCAAAGCATGCAATTCAACCTTGTTGAGCTCTTTCTTCAGCCCAGGGCTGATTCTTTTATCTTCTCTAGCCTCCTCCTGTCTTTAGCAGGCATGTTCTCAGGGCTTATCCCAGCCCCAAGCACTCTGCCGAACACCAAATACTTCTGAGAGAATGTTGCAGTCATAGTACCTTCAGTCCCATGTCGCCCAGGCTTTAAATTTAAATCCACCAGACAGAGGATGGCCAGTGGTCCAGATTTGCCAACACAGAAGCTTCTTTGGAGCCCCTGCAGAACCCCCCTAACCGGGTTTTTTTTTTTTAATCTATTATTTCAAGTAATTTTTTCTTCTACAAGGAAAACCCTTTTCTTCACGTATTTTTTTCCCAAACAACAAACCTGGTTGTGCCACAACTTTTTTTTGTTTGGGGACCAAACCCAGAAGTGGTTCTTGGGGTCACTCCTTGCTCAGGGACTATGAGGTGTGAGGGACTGAACCCAGGGCTCCCATAGGCAAAGCATATTTCACACCTTTTAAAAGTCCTTCCTTCAGGGGCTGGAGCAATAGTACAGCGGGTAGGGCGTTTGCCTTGCACGCGGCCTACCGGGGTTTGATTCCCAGCATCCCATATGGTCCCCTGAGCATCGCCAGGGGTAACTCCTGAGCGCAGAGCCAGGAGTATCCCCTGTGCATCGCCAGGTGTGACCCAAGAAGAAAAAGAAAAAAGTCAGTCCTTCAGTGACAACTTGTAAGAACTTGGGACAAATTGCTTCCATGTAACAAAACAGGAACACTGGAATACAGATACCAGGGACTCATTTTTCAGGTCTGTCTACATGAGAGTTTGGAGGCAGAAACAACAATTGTGTGCATAGCTAAATCCTCAATTAGCATCTTGAGTTCTTGGAAATGCAACTTGGAATAACAAAACCAGAGTAATGTCGGTAAAACATCTGCTGGGGGGGATAAAAGAAATAAAGGTGAAACAAAGTGTCACTTCAGGATATAATGTGTTATTCAGAAAGAAAACTAAAACTTTCTCAGAACATTCTAACAATAAACAAAGACATCAACAAAACATCTCCTCAAAAAAGTTTCTACGGTGTTCTACTGACTTTAGGGGACTGGATAATTCTTAACCTTGGTCCAAGCATGGGGCATAGTGTGCCTTGTTCGGTTCCCAGCTGGCTTTTGTTCTCTTCTGATCTCCTGCGCTGTGTGCTCTTGGGCCTCTGGGCTCTTCCACAGGCTTTCTTTCTGCCTCACTCATTTTATTCCAAATCTCTTTCCTTTCTTTGCCAGTTAACTTCAAGTCTTGGCTTTATGGGGGGGGGGGGGGGGGGGCAGTCACACTGGAGGTTCTCAGGGCTTACTTCTGCCTCTGTGTTCTGGGAGCCATATGCAGTGCAGGGGACCAAGCCAGGGTTGGCAGCCTGCAAGACAGGAACTCACCTGCTGTACTGGCTCTCTGATCCTGTCAGGTCTTGGCTTTATAGCCTCTATTCCAGAGAAGTCTTTACCTCCCTGCTTCCTCAAGCCCCAGAAGCTGGGGTCAGTCTTTTGACTGGCCTTTTACTTCCTGCCCAAATCATTATGCTTGTCAGACCTGGAGGAAGGGTGTTTGGAGCCCAGCAGAGTGCCTGGTCCCCGTGGGTGCTCAGTGAATGTCAGCTCTATGAAGCCATAGGAGCCTGCCCAGCCAGAGCGGCTGCCTTCAGAGTTGATGGAGGCCAGAGAGATCGTACAGCAGGTAGGGCCCTTGCCTTATAAAAGGCAGGCCTGAGTTGGTCATCCTAACACAGCTAGGAGTGAATGCTGAACACAGAGTGGGGAGAAAATCCTGGCACATCCATGGTGACCCAAACCCTTTCCCCCTCTATCTGCATCAGAGTAGATGTAGGCAGATGGGAGCCAGGTGACAAGGAGCCAGCACCTACCTGGCCTTCCTTTGGGCGGGGGGGTGGGGGACAACACTGCTGGCCTGAGAGCAGTGGAAAAACTGAGGTGGGGTCAGTTCTGCAGTGATAAGACTATAGGACGTAGTCTTCCCCTAGGCTATTGTGCATTCATTTTAGTCTTTTTACCCACACCCAGGGAGCCTCAAGACTTGGTGGTGTGGTGTTTGTGGGGAGGGGTGACAGCTCTCTGAGCTGCTCTGGGGACCATGTGGTGCCAGGAATCAAACCCACAACTCCTGAACGCAAAGGATGTGTGCCAGCCTGTGAACCACCCCCCTACCTTCTCCCCTCCCCCCAGGCCAGGAGAAAGATGAGCTTTGGGAGTCAAAAACCAAAGAAACAAACAACCATCTCTCTGGGGTCAATCCTCGGCATCCCTTATGGGTCCCCCGACCCCCCACGCCACCCCCACCCCAGCACCTCCAGGAATGATCCCTGAGCATTCCTGAATGCAGAACCGGGAGAATGAGCCCGGCCGGGGTGTGGCCTCCAAACAAAAACAAACAAACAAAAGGGTCTCCCATCCCTCAAGGGAGGTTCACCCGCCGAGACCGAAAGGCCACACGCTTGCCCCGCGTGCAACCGCGGCGGGCCCCGAGGCTCGCAGCAGCAGCAGCAGCAGCAGCAGCAGCAGCAGCAGCAGCTGCAGGACCAGCCCGCCCGGCGGCCGCAGCCCGCGCCTGCGCACTCCCGCGCGCGCTCAGGCCCCGCCCCGGGGAGGCTCCGCGGGCGCCCCGCCCCCGTCCCTGCGTGCGCACCGCCGAGAGCCCGCCTCAGTGAAAGACGGCCGGGCGCATGCGGAGGGTCCGCCTCACTGGCCGCCGGGCTCGGACCGTGTGCGCCCAGCTCTGTGGCCGACGGCAGGACCTGAAGGCGGTCTCAGGTACGCCGGCCCCGGCGGCCGGGCGGGAGCGCCGCTGCCGTGCAGCCCTCGGCGCTGCTCCCCGAGCGCGGCGCGGGACGGCCCCACCGCCGGCTGACGGACGTCGCTCTCCGCCAATCAGGGCCGACGTGGCTCGTCCGCTGGCCCAATGGGTGGCGCGCCTAACGGGAGTGAGGCGGGCGGTCCGGCGGGCCAGGAGCCGGCTCCCGCGCGCGGGGCCGCGTGGCCGGGCGCGGCGGGGGGCGCGGGGCGCGGGGGCCGCGGGCGGGGCGGGGCGGGCCGGGCCGGGGCGCCGGGGAGCCCGCGGGGCCCGGACAGCCGGACCCGGGCAGCGCCCGTGTCAGCGCGGCCCGCTCGGCCCGGCCGGGAGCCGGGGCGGGCGCGTGGCGCCGAGCGGGCCGAGAGGCGCTGCCCCCCCACGCCGCGGCGGGGGCTCGCCCGGGGCCGCCGCCGCCGCCGCTGCCCGTGCGGCTCCCCGCGGCCCTCGGACCTCGAGGCCCGGCCCGAGCCGCGCGGCGAAGGGGGTTCAAGGTCCGAGCGCGGCCCGCCGCGCCGGTTGGGGGATGGGTCCGGCGGCCTGGACGCCCGTGGGCCCGAGGGCCGCGGGGTGCGGTCCGCGCCGGCCCCCGCGCATCGCGGCCTCCCGGGGTGGGGAGGATGCTGCGCCGGAGGGACGCTGTCCTAGCCGACGTGGACAGGCGTGGACATCCGGCCACCGCTCCCCGGAGGTCGAGCCCCCGGGCAGCCCGGTGACAGGGACGCCGAGGGTCTCGCCCCCCGTTTCGCAGATGGACCCGGGCATCGGGCCACTCGAGTGACCTGCCGGATCTCCTGCAGCGCCCGAGCGGTGGGACGTTTGGCAAAGGAATCGCGCCCGCCCGTGCCCCAGGGTGGTTGCGTTCCTCCCGCCCCCATGCGTGGTGCTTGAAAAGCCAGCGCAGACCCCGGGCACTCGGGGGCCAGCGGATTGGTTGGTCCTTTTCTTCTTCCCCTTCCGCGCCCCCCCCCCCACCTCCCCGCCCGCCCCCGTTTTTCTTGGCTCTCCCTCGATTTCCTGTAGAAGTCTTCACGCTGTGTTTGCCCAGTTCCCCCCCCCCCCCCCACCCTCCCATCCCTTTCTTGCATCGAGTGCTCCCAGACCCGCTGCAATTCTCAGGTAACAAAGCTGGAGCCAGCTGGATTCCTTTACCCTGGGATACATTTGCGTGCGCGCCCCCCCTCTCCCCCCACCCCTTGTGGGCCCTGGCCCTAGTCTCAGCCCTTGCCACTGAAGCAAAGGATCAGCTCCCACTTCTCCGCGGTGTAGGCCCATCTCTGGATTACTCATTGATTTGTAAATGTTTTGTCTAACTGCACTGCCCAACAGCTTGAGGAATGGGCCCCATCTGTTGAATTGTTAGGGTGTCACTATAGGCTTTGGAGATGGGGTAGGGAGGGTAAGGAAGGTCCCTACCCTGCATGTGGAGACTTTGATTTCATCCCGGGCACCCCATGGCCACCTGGCACCAGTGTGGGCCTCTCCCAAGACAACAAAGGCCAAAACAAGCCCAGGTTATAAAAGTGAGCGTCTGAGCCCCATCCATTTCTCTTGCCCAGTCTTGGAGTAGAGTATTTATTGCCAGGCGCCAATGGGAGACTCAAGAAAGGTATTTTGTAAGTAAAACTGGGGCAAATTCAATGCAGTTGCGTCTTCCCTAGAAGGAAGGGACTCTGTAACCCTCTTGGAGTGGCTAAGGAATTTCTGGAAACATTTTTCAGAGTTTTAGCCCACAGGACCAGGGCGTACTCTCAGGGTTCTGTCTAGGATCTGTCTTAAAATGTAGCCAAGTCTGGTATTCATTCAGAGGGAAGGTGACCACATAATGGGTACTTAAGGTGCCATAAGTTTGGGGGAACTGCATACTGTATGTCATAATGTATTCCTTTGGGGGATATCCCAGTATTCGTTAACTTAAAAAAGGCTCTTAGACGTGTTGCACTAAAAGAAACCATATAAGCAGCCCTTCTCTGATTGATGGTCTAGAGACCCCTTTTTGGGGATTTCTTGTGTATTTTGGCAGACGCCCGGGAATGAGCTCTGAGATGCGGGGAGGAGGATGGGGTGGCTGGAGGGGAGACACATTCTGAGCATTCTCACCCCTTTCGCCAAGTGGGTGCATTCCTGCCAGGGGAGGGGTGGGGCGAGGGAAATGCTTCAAGCAGAACTCCCCGAGTTTCCTTGTTCCTTTCTTCGTTTATTTTTGTTAGAAATTGGCTTCACATGAAGTCTTCCGGAGGAGGAGAATATCCTGACTGCTCCAGAGCGAGCCTTGCCTTCTGCTTGGTGTTGCTCATTTCCAGCCCATTTGGGTCTGCTGACCAAAGGATGTTTCTGGGTCCCAGGAGGCCCATAGCTTTTTCCTCCCCTTCTGCCTCAGCCGGTCTTTGTTCTTTTTTTTTTTGGACCACAGCCAGCGATGCTCAGGACTTACACCTGGTTCTGTGCTCAGGAATTAGTCTTCATGGTGCTCGGAGAATCATATGGGACACAGGGATCGAGCAGGGATCTGCCGCTTGCAAGACAAATCCTACCCTCTACAGTGTCGCCCCAGCCCCAGCCGGTTTTGGCCCCTCTCCTTTCTGTTCTTCCATTCCCTGCCACCACCGCTGTACTGCGCTTTGGATTGAATCAAATTTTCCCTCGCCAAGTCTTCTACCATTATGTACCTCAGACTGGTTTATTATCTGATGGCCTTTACTTCTAATGGCTAAATCTCTGTGGTGTACCTGGGAGAGGCGATTCAGTTACCGAAGAGAGCTTTAATTAAACTATTATCGGTTCACCTGCAGTGACTTTTAAATGTTGTACATAGAAGGCCCTAAACCAACACAACAGAAATAAATAAAATGTTGAAGTCCTTTCCTTCATAACCTAGAGAAGCTGTGTTTTCTTTCTTTCTTTCTTTCTTTCTTTCTTTCTTTCTTTCTTCTTTCTTTTCCTTTCTTTCCTTCCTTCCTTCATAACCTAGAGAAGCTGTGTTTTCCTTCCTTCCTTCCTTCCTTCCTTCCTTCCTTCCTTCCTTCCTTCCTTCCTTCCTTCCTTCCTTCGAGAAGCTGTGTTCTTTCTTTTTTTCTTTCTTTCTTTCTTTCTTTCTTTCTTTCTTTCTTTCTTTCTTCCTCTCTCCCTCTTTCTTTCTTTCTTTCTTTCTTTCTTTCTTTCTTTCTTTCTTGCCCTCTTTCCCCTTCTTTTCTTTTTTTTTGACACATACCTGGTGATGCTCAAGGGATGGTTACTCCTGTCTCTTTTCCCAGCAATTACACCTGGTGGTGCTTGAGACCATATGGGATGCCAGGGATTTGAACTCGTCAGCCATATGCAAAGCAAACACTCCACCCTCTCTGCTATCTCCCCGATCCAGTTTTTCTTGATGACAAATTGTAATTTAGCTAAAGACACTGTCATTTTCATGGATAAAATGAGTGCTCTTCCTGGCTCCAGCATTTGGAATGTAGCTGTTATGTTTGTTTGCTTCATTAGTCTGACTCCCAAGGTTGCTTTACCAAAAGGCACAGTATTTGATTTAACAGCAGCCTTTCGACTCTTACATGACTGAAGCCATTCACTGGGTTCAGAAACATACTGAGATCCTTCTTAACCTCCCCAGAGGTCTGTGTCAGGGAACCCAGCCATCAAGAGAGCTTGTAGCTAGTAAGTGGCAGAACAAGTATTTAGACCTTAATTTTTTTTTTAAGTTCTATATATCTGTCATTTTCTCTTTCCCAGATCATAAAGTAAAATGAAGTACATTCTAGTCACTGGTGGTGTGATATCAGGAATCGGAAAAGGAATCATCGCGAGCAGTGTGGGAACAATCCTGAAGTCATGTGGTTTACACGTAACTTCAATTAAAATCGACCCATACATTAACATTGATGCTGGAACGTTTTCTCCTTATGAGCATGGTAAGCAGAATGCATTTCTTCCATTTTCTTTAATAAAATGGCCTTGCAGCGTGGCAGAATATGTCTGTCTGCTCTTGGATATTGTGTGTATTTCCAAGTGTGTTTGCATAATTTCCTACCTTCTGTAAAGGTCCTCAGCAGAGCACGCGTGAACGGAGGAAGCAGAACTGTTTTTTGCACCTGAACGGAAGAAGGGGAACTCTTATTCTGTAATATAATGACTAGAGCAACAGGCCTCACCTGCCGCTTTTCAGGAAAAAAAAAAATCTCAGCTGTTCCTTTGGAAATCTCTCTTCTAAAAACAAACAGAAAGTGTTCCCAGTTGCACAATTACTGCCTTACCCCCCCATCCCTTCAGCGGTGTCCCCCCTGCTAGTGGGTGGTTTCACCCACTTTGGGAAACACTAGGTTAGGATCTTAAAAGTTTTGGCAAGTAGAAATCGTAGATCTCATCTTTTTTGGTGCTTGAAGAAAATTCATCATGTCTCTTGTTTAAAAAAAATATATATGGTGACATTATTTCTTTTCAGTGTTGGAAAAGAGGATTATATGTTTACTATTCTGTGGTCCAAGCTTTAGAACTAGGATGAGTGGATGAAAGGTCTTCATTAATAGCAAGCACTCTTCAAGCGAGGGGTGACCAAGTTCTAGAGGGTTAGGTTTCCTGCAGTACAGGTGTTCAGACAGGCTAAAGGGCCTTTCCATAATGAAGAGCAGGGTTCGGATGATCGGTAAACCAGACAGGAGAAGCAAGCTACTTTTGAGGTGAGTGAAAAGTTGAGCCAGTTTAGGGAGGATGGGAAAGTAGCAGATTCTTGGCTGCTGAATACTTGTACATTTTTACATGTTATAAGAGCTAAAGCTTCGGGGGAGATGTATACTGTAAGGATGCCTTAGAAATAATGTACTTTATGAGTATGTTTTCATACAGCTGCTTTCTAAGGTGGAGGCAAAAATTTGTAAGGATGAGCACTTTTTATTTCACGTCAGCGATGAGGTGAAAGTCCATCCTGGTGAGTTGATGATGAGAGTACGCACTGGTGTCATAATGTAGACTCCTTGGATGGAGAATGAATTCTAAGGGGGAAAGGAGTCATTTTTGCCTTTCCTGTTTTTTTGAGCTTATCTCCTATAGGCTAGGTTGGAATGAGCCATTCTGGGCAAAGTATTTCGACTGTTTCAAGGAATGAATGTCCTGTCAAGGAATGGGGAGAAATGTGTAAGATTTCACAACTTTGTTTAAAATTAAAGTGTAGTCCAAAGGCTGATTTTTCATAACCAACATGAGCAGGTATATAGCTTGTTTTAGTTCTGAGTCAAATCTTCCTTTCACCATATTCTTTCTTTTCCTTTTTTTTCGGGGGGGGGGGGCGTTGGGTCACACTTGGTGATGTTCAAGGGCTTCTACTCCTGGCTCTTCACTCAGGAGCTAGTCCTGGCAGTGCTCATGAGACCATATGGGATGCTGGGAATTGAACCCGGGTTAGCTACATGCAAGGCAAAGCCCTACTGGCGGTGCTATCCGTTTGGTCCCTCTTATCACATTTTCGACTTTTCTCTGTTCATGTGGATGCTCAGTTAAAAGATCTTTTTCTTCGGGCAGCTGCTGCCACATCACTGTCAGATCCCACGTATCTGGCCTTTCAGGCTGGCCTTTCCGTCTCTTTCATGGGCATTATGACTGTTTCGTAACTTCCTGATTCGGGCCGAGCTTAGAGGTAGACTGGAATATGGAATTGACATTTGGAAGCTGGTTGGCGATTTTTCTTCCTCTCATTGAGTCTGCTAGAAATCAACTTCTCCGCCCCCTATCAAGTGAACATGGACTTTGTTCTCTTTGGGTGTTTATGCTTGGGGGCTGAGGTTGTGCTGTGCGTGGCATGCAGCGTGCACTCACCCTGAATGTTTCCTCTGTTCCTCGCAGGCGAGGTGTTTGTGCTGGATGATGGTGGGGAAGTTGACCTTGACCTGGGTAACTACGAGCGGTTCCTTGACATCCGCCTCACCAAGGACAATAATCTGACCACTGGAAAGATATACCAGTACGTCATTAACAAGGAACGCAAAGGAGATTACTTGGGGAAAACTGTCCAAGGTAATGCTGGTTTTGTCCTCAAGAGTGGAGAATCTTACTTAGCCATTTTAATTTCCTTTGTTTACACAATTTATCTTTCGGTGCAGGTTTTTCTTTTTCCTTTTCGTAACCAAAGATATTTTGGTTACTGCTGAAATAGTGCCGTTCGTTGAAAATTTAGGACTGTGTCCAATAAGTTTGAGAAGCCCCTGCTGCATTGCGAAAGGCCTTTATACTGTCAACGCAGCCATTGGTGTTGAGGCCTGAGAGCTGTTTTTGACAGTGTGGACTGATACTCTGTGTGTGTGTGTGTGTGTGTGTGTGTGTGTGTGTGTACACATGTACGTGCATCTGGGACTTAGCAGGCGACGAGAAGAAACAGGATGTCCTGTGCGCTGAGTTTAGGCCCTGACCGGCAATGCAGAAGGTTTGGGGGAGTCACAGAAAGTCCGCCTCTCACCGTGTTTACCTCTGTATCTGTTACATTGGGGGCTTATTGGGGGTTTGCTCGGTGTTCAGTCATGCTGCCTTAAACAAAAGGTGGAAGTGGGGCACCCCCATCTAGTGGAGAATGGCCTAGGTCCAGGTCCGGGCGGGAGGCGGTGCTGCTTGTAAAAAGTGGCTTTCGTTTGAGTTATGGGAGTAAATCTGCTCTGGGCCTTCGGCCACCCTGCTCTGGGAGTGGGGGGTCCCTCAGACGGCTGTGCTGTGGGCCAGCCCTGGCCAGGTCCTGGACTGATGGGCTCATGTGTAGCTCTTAGCTCTGCCAATTAGCGACACTTATGTGGACGGATGGTATCTGGTGGCCTCTTTTGAAATTGGGATTAACAGCCGTGCCTACCTTCCTGAATTGTTGGGAGGATTAAGCCAAGTCAGTAAAGAGTATCTCTGAGTTCCGTCCACTCAGAACGGGAGCAGGTGGGAATCAGTGATACTGGTGAGACACTCAACAGGCTGGGAATTCACCAGGAGACCCACAAGACCCTTGTCCCCGTGGGGGGTTAACTCTTGGAGAGAGAACAGTGGACGGGGGGGAACGGACGCACCCGGGAGGAGAGGGAAAGGCAGTTCCAGGTGGGGTTTGAGGATGCTCCTGCTGAGAGGCCCCACCTGGGGGAGAGCTGTGCACAGGAGCAGGAGCACGGCGGGCCCGGCGAGTGGCTGGAGAGAGCGCTGAGGGGTGCGACAGCAGAGGAAAGCCCCTGAGGGGTTCATATATGCTCCCCTCCTTCCCTTCCGGTTGTGTCTGTGATGATGGGGACGGGTCGGTGCATGCTTGGTTTGGTGCTTGCATGGTGGGTGGTGCTGCGTGCAGTGGGGCGTCTCAGGCTGCGGCTGGCTGCTCTCAGACGCTTGGTTGCACACATGCTTGTGACACTGGGTTCCCAGACCGCAGAGCCAGGGTCCCTATCCCCCTGCTGGGAGTGGGGTGGGGGGACGGTGCTGTGGCTAGTTCATGTTTGCGAGGTGCCCTCCCTGGCACTCTCTGTTGAGACATTCAGGGGGTGGGAGCCCCGAGGTGCGGATTTCAGTGTGTCTGTTTTGTGTTTGGACCACGCGAAGTGGTACTCGGGGCTGGGGCTGGCTTGGTGCTCAGGGTTACTCTGGGGGTTGCTCCGGTATTTGGGGGAGGACCATGGGGTCCCAGGGATGGGAGCTCGACCTTCCATATGTGCAGTCTGTGTTCCAGCCCTTTGAACGCTTTCCCCATCTCACCAGTTTACATTATGATTAGTTTTTATTTTTGGTACTCAGGGCTTACCCCTGGCCCTGTGCTTGGAGATCGCTGCTGAAGATCCCTTTGGCTATTCTGTGTGGATGAGATGATGAATGTTCTTGAGCTGGAGGTCCAGCTGTTTCTCCTCCTTGCTAGTAAACTGCTCTCTGCCCCCGCAGGACGCTGCCTTCTGAGCTGTACGATACGACTTGAGTGTGTTTAGCAGTGGCTGCTTCTGTGTTTCACGAGTGCTGGCTCATCGCGGGCTAAAAGCTATACCAAAACAGGCTTGAGGCTAGTTAGGTCATTTGCCCAGAGAGTGACCACTGCTAAAGGTCTGGGGCTGAAACCTGCCCCCTGACATGCTGGCCCCAGGGCTGCACTCCCAGCCTCTCTCTATTCACCGTCTGGGCAGCTGGTCCTCTCCCTGGTGGGTTTTGGAACCCTAACTGAGTAGGGTCCTGGTGTTCTCTGCTTCCAGGAAAAGCAAGCAGGCGCGGGTGGGAACAGGGGTGGACATGGAGCCTGTCGTCCGCTCGGAGTCACACTTAGGCTTTCCCTCTTCTAGCCACCACTTGGGGAATCTGGAGGGAAGACTGAGCAGTGGGAACCTGGATTGCTCGGGCCCCTTTGCAGGCAGACTCGCGTCACAGTTCCGCAGAGGGCCCCAGTTCACTGACTTCTTTCTTTCCCTCAGTTGTCCCTCACATCACGGATGCTATCCAGGAGTGGGTCATGAGACAGGCCCTGATCCCTGTGGATGAAGATGGCCTGGAACCTCAAGTGTGTGTGATCGAGGTGTGTATGCATCTTCTCTGGCTCTGCCGTCCCGTGTCTGACCGTGGGCACACCTCTGCCACCTCTCAGCAGTTGAGGTGCCAGGACACTCCTGCCTGCGAGGAAGCAGGTGCCAGTGCCACAGCAGTCACGTGGCCAGCTGTGCCCTTCCCCTCAGCCCTGAGCCTTCTCCAGCTCCGTTTATCTGGACACTGCCAGTAGGAAGAGTGTTGTGGCACATTTTCATGTTTGTGAGAACATTTGCTAACCATGGCTATGCTCTGGCCGAAGAGTCTTGTCTCTGAGTCTGCTCCTGCTCTGTGGATCCTACTCAGTCTCTTTTTTTTTTTTTTTTAAATGTAGGAGTACTGCTATTTTTTCAGCCACTGATTGATTAGCTGATTGAATTGGGCATGAACTCCACCTTACTCTTTTTTTTATAATTTTATTTATTGAATCCACATGAGAGCAGTTACAAAGCTTTTGGGTTTGTCTCGGTCATACAATGGAACACCCGAATCTTCACCAGTGCCCATTCTCCACCCCCAAAAACCCTCGCATACCCCCATCCCACACCCTCCTCCTACCTGTGGGAGAGATTTCCACATTACTCTCTCTCTACTTTGATCACATTCAATATTTTGACACCAGACCCACCATTATTAAATTTGGGATTTTACCCCAACACTCAGATCTGCTGAAGAGGCAACAGTAGACAATTTGTTTTCTGTTGCTGGTTATGAATAACATGATGTCGCGTGGCTGCAGTAGTAGCCACGTGATTTTGAGATTCCGAAATTTTAACAGTTAAATCTGGAGGGATTTCTGCCAAGACCTGCTGGGTTCCGAGATTTGTTCCTGAGTCTCTTGGATCATGGCCATTAAGCAGCTTGATCAGGAGGCAGAGAGGCTGTTTGTGGGTGACGACTCGGGGTCTTGTTGGGACAGGGAGGAAAGGGCCAGCTCCACCCCCATCCCGTGAGGCCCCACGTGTCTTGTCACTGAGAGCCCAAACCAGACTGCCCAGTGACCTCTGGAGGATGGTGGCCTGCGGGCCGCCAGGGTGAACAGGCCAAGGCATGAACCTACTTGGTCTCCTTACTGAGACAGGGAACTCCCTCCTGAGTCGCATCCCCGCCTCTATAACTGATGCTTTTTTTTTTTTCTCTTCTTTTGTTTCCAAGTGGTATTCATCATAGGGCCTTGTCCTACTGGCAGTAGTTGACCAACCAGTCTGGTGGTTGTGGTACTGCTTGGGCACTGTGGTGCCAATGTGGTTAAATCTGGGTCAGGTCCCTGCAAGGTACAGCCCCTGATCCCTGTAGTATTTTCGTGGCCCCCAGTTGCTGTTTTTTAATTCAGAAGTTGTTCCTGGGGCTGGAGTGATAGCACAGCGGGGAGGGCGTTTTCCTTGCACGTGGCTGATCTGGGTTCGAGTCCCAGCATCCCATATGGTACCCTGAGCACCACCAGGAGTAATTCCTGAGTGCATGAGCCTGGAGTAACCCCTGTGTGTCACCGGGTGTGACCCAAAAAGAAAAAAAAAATAAGTTGTTCCTGACTAAGGCAATAGCGTAGTCTGTACTTTCGATGTGGGAGGATTCATGATAACCTTAGAGAGTGGGGAGCTTATCCCGAAAGGTTCCCTTTTATTTAGTTAATTTATTTTTTTATTTTTTGCTTTTTTGGGTCACACCCGGCAATGCACAGGGGTTACCTCCTGGCTCTGCACTCAGGAATCACTCCTGGCGGTGCTCAAGGGACCATATGGGTTGCTGGGAATCGAACCCTGATTGGCCGTGTGCAAGGCAGACGCCATACCTGTTGTACTATTGCTCCAGCCCCAAAGGTTCCCTTTTAAATGTTACAAATTCTAATCACTGGTAACATTTACCAGGCCTAGAGAGTCCACCCTTTGCCGCTCCTGATCCCTGAGTATAGATGACAGGAGCGCTGCTGTGAGGAAACCAGGCCAGGAGAGGAAGGTTTGGTGCTCGGGCTCTAAGCCAGTGTTCGTGTCCTTCTTCCAGCTCGGTGGGACCGTGGGCGATATCGAGAGCATGCCCTTCATTGAGGCTTTCCGGCAGTTCCAGTTCAAGGTCAAAAGAGAGAACTTCTGTAATATCCATGTCAGTCTCGTTCCTCAGGTAAGACATTCCAAGTTTGACTTTGGGAATGTGGTGAGAAGGTAGCCAAGGATGGTTTTCCCTTCCTGCCTGTTCTAATTAGCCAAGGAACAGAAAGTAGGAAATCGCATGTGAATTTTAACAATTACAATCAGACTGTTTGGGGAAAAGACCATTGGAAAACATTTGGAAACTTAATCTGGTAAGTTGCTATTAAAGATGGAAGATGGCACTTGTCCGTTGGTCTTTACTTCCGGTGCAGCCCTACTGCTGGAGTGAAGGGGATTTCTAAGATATAACTGAAAGCACAGATAATGCTGAGAGGAGATACCAGTCACCCAAGTTAGGAAGCCAGAAAGCAGGACATGAGGGAACTGAGCCGGTGGATTGGGAGAGCTGGACTCAAGAAAGACCAGTGACCTGTCTCCTCTGTGGAAACCTAAAGGCTCAGGAGAGGCCTGAGGTGACTCTGGCAGTAAGGTGCGAAGCTGTTTCAGGAGCAGTGGGGCCCTGGTGTCCCCTTCCCTGACGTGGAGTGTGGGCATTAGCCCTGTCCTGCACAAGACTTCTGGTTTCTCTGGAGAGAGTCTTTGGATGAGCAGACAGTTGGGCAGTTGAGAAAAAGCATGGAACCTTGGTGGAAGGTTAGACTGTGAGATAGTTTCCTCTTTGCTGCTTGCTTCCCACAATTATTAGAGGCAGATTTAAATCACCTAACATGGGGAGGGGGGGTTGCAGGATTCTTCACTGTGTGTATCTCTACCCCAGAAGCAAATATCTGCCCTCAAGGTGTCCCAAGGCTGACTAACTCCCCAAGAGAGGACTCCAGGGAGCAAGCACCCATGCATTCAGAACAGTTAGCCATTAATTAGGAACTGGCCGCCAGTGATTATCGGATGTTTGGAGAAACCATCAAATGCTCCAGAGGGGAAAAAAAGGAAACAGAAAGTTGAATTTTTGTAGGGATAAGGAAACTTAAAATAAAAATAAAAAAACTTAAAATAAAACCCAGCAGCCTTATTAACATCCTTAGACTTAAAAGGTAAGATAGTGCAGTCATTAAACAAAGGAAACCCTAAGAAGAGATCATTTTGAGACTAGGAAACGGTTTTTGGAACATCAAAATGAGAGCCAAAGGGGCCTGAGCTCTAGTACGGTGGGTGGGGTATTTGCCTTGCACTCGGCTGACCTGGGTTCAATCCCCAGCATCCCATGTGATCCCCCAAGCACCACCAGGAGTAACCCCTGAGCATCGCCAGATGTGACTCAAAAAGCAAAAAAAAAAAAGAGAGAGAGAGAGAAGTGAAAGACTTAACAGAAGTTGAACTGTTGCAAAGAAGATCAGGAGGTAGGGAATAGGAAAGAAAAGATAAGGATTAGAGCACTGTTCTAGAAGCTCTAACATCCAGGTATAAAAGGACTTCCACCAAGCAAAAGCAGATAAATGGAAGGGAAGTGTACTTTGAATCCAGGAACAACCCTCACGATTCGAATCAGTCTCCCTATCTCAGTCTTGAAAATTATGAAGCCGCATGGAGACGCTGCCCTGTCCACCTTTTAGGTATTGTCCACAGTTGCTTGCATTAAGAGCAGCAGAGTTGAGGAATCGTGTCAGAGATAGTGGATTGAAGGGGCCTGCTGAATGCCCGGCAAAGGAAACGACCGATACCAAGGCATGCTGTGCTGACGTTTCAGAATCATGTGCAAGAATTTTAAAAGGCTGTGGCAGACTTCTCAGCGACAACCCTGCAAGCTGAAGACAGGCACTCTGCTCCTTAAAAATTCTTTAGTAAAATCACTTCTAGCCTGGAATTCTGTACCCAGCAAGTCTGTCTGCTGAGTGTGTGAGAAGACAGACAATGTGATACACAGGGAATAGCACAGCAAAGAGACTAAACCAATGAGGGCAAACGGTTGAACTGGAAAGGAGAAGTGCAGCTCGTGTTCCAACAGTGGACAGTGTTTCCTCCAAACCACGCAGACAACAGGGGAGTCATGAGTGGGGGCAGCAGGCACAGGGCGCATTTATAGTGGAGAAAGAAATTTCATTTTAACATAGAAAAATCAATAGAAAATTGCCCCAAGCTTTGCCTTAAGAAGTAGCAGTGATACGTTGAGGATCAATTAAGTCTAAGGATGGTGTTGTCTAGGGTTTGGGAAAGGGGATGGGGCGTTCATTGTTCATTTGGACAAACTTGGTAGAACCGTTTGGCTCTGTGGATGTGTGTAACTTTGACAAAAATAAGAACTGGCTTAAGTAAATGATTATCTATTATCCTAATAGAAAAATGAGTTTAAAGAAAAGTTAGAAAACATTTTTTTTTAATTATAGAGAATTTTTTGTTGTTTGTTGGTTTTGGTGATGGAGATCTTATCCAGAGCTTCATATAAGCAAAGCATATGCTTTACCACTGAACCCAGTCTAAGAAATTTTTCTTTTTCTCCCTTTTTGCAAAATAGCCAAGTTCAACAGGGGAGCAGAAGACTAAACCCACCCAAAATAGTGTTCGGGAGCTCCGAGGGCTTGGCCTTTCCCCGGATCTGGTAAGACTTGCTTACTTCCTGGGGTCAGCTTGTGTATTTGTGGCTGGTGGACACAGCCTCTGCCTAGCAGGCGTAATGCTGTACACAGGGGAGCATCCTCTGGGTTGGTGCTTGGAAGCTGTGGATGGCAGCGATTGTGTTCTTGCCTTTGCTGCGGAGGAAAGCCTAGTTACATGGCTGTGTTTTAGGTGTACCATTTCTCACTTCAAAATATGTGTACCACTGTCCAGCAAATGTGCAAAATAGATTTTTCTGTCTGACCCACATGCTCTCTCTGCTGTCTGTCTGGAACATTTTTCAGGGAAATTCCAGTTGGCTTTCCTAGGTCATGAGTTTGCCTGTTCCCCACTGTATCGCCTTCTTTGCTAATCTCCTTTTCTTTTCTGCTAGGTTGTGTGCAGGTGCTCAAATCCCCTTGACACGTCAGTAAAAGAGAAAATATCAATGTTCTGCCATGTTGAGCCTGAACAAGTAAGTAATCTTCACATACATTGGTATGTTTGTGTGCTTCTGTTTTTTCTAAAGTCCCTTAAGCAGTACATGGGACTTGTTCATTCCGTCATTTGAGACAGTTCTGTCCGCATCATACTCACTGGCTCTGGTTCACTGCTTTCTCCTTTATGGTTCCCAGACATGCATCGTCCCTCTTGTGTTCTGTCTTTCCCTACTAGTCGGCATCACTCCAGCCATGCTGATTGGGTGTCCTCTTCCTGTTGGCTTGGCAGTCTCTTCCTCGGGGTCTGACTCAGACATGATGTTGTCTTGACCTGTCAGACCTCCTCCTCAGGTGCAAGGTTAACCATTTCCTGAGGTGCTGGTGGTGAACCTGCCGTGTGTGTGTGTGTGTGTGTGTGTGTGTGTGTGTGTGTCTGTGTGTGTCTGTGTGTGTCTGTTCAGTCTGTCATAGACTAACCTTGAGGTGCTGGTGGTGAACCTACTGTGTGTGTCTGTGTCTGTGTCTGTGTCTTTGTCTGTGTCTGTCTGTTCAGTCTGTGTCACAGGCTTTGAGGTGCTGGTGGTGAACCTACTGTGTGTGTGTGTGTCAGAGTCAGAGACCTTGAATTAGACCACTTCATGAGGGCAAGGAAACAACTTGACTTTTTGAAGTTGAGGACTCCCAGGGGAAGAAACCAGCACGGGGTTCTGATGAACTGCCTCCCCACGCGCCCTCTCTCCACCCCTAGGTTGAGTTCCGTCCCGTGTGCCATTGAAACAGGCAGGCTTTCCAGTAGAGGAAGAAACTACATAAAGGTAGTCATGAAGTTGGCAGGGCTTTTGTCTTTGATGGGCATATGGCAGTTCCTAACCTCTTGCCTAAACAAGAAAATTTAACACGTGGTGCTCAAGATGATTTCCTAGGAAGTAGGAAACTGTTTGAGAAAATACAGATTGAGAGGTAAACTCATCGTGAAATGTTGCTGTTGGGGAAGTAAGTCAGAAGAAGAAAGACAGATACCAAGGCAGGCCCCAGACGCATTGGTGATGAAGAGGTGATATTTAACAACGTATCTGAACCGTAGCACCAGGATGGGAAGCAGGCAATCCAAACTACAGCCACCAAATTTTAAAATTTGCCTGTCAGGGATGCAGACTGGAGGGTGGGAGGAAAAATGGGGACATTGATGGAAGGAAAGTAACATTGGTGACAGCATAGGTGTTGGGACATTGTATGCCTGAAACTAGTTGAAAATCATGGTTCCTACAATAGAAAAACAATCAAAGATTTGAGCTATATAGGGTCTATAGAAAGTAAAGCACTTGCCGTGCCTGTGACTGCTTTGGCCGTGACCCTGGTTTAATCCCTGGCGTGGCATGTGGTCCCCTAAGTGCCAGCAGGAATGTCTTCTGTTCACAGAGCCAGAAATCATCCCTGAGCACCACCAGGTGTGGTCCCCCCAAACACGGAAGGAATTCTGCTGTCGTGAGCTTTGGGCCCTGATCTTCCTAGTGGCTGTGACTGGCCTGGTCTGGCCATGGGGTGGCCAAGGGGCTGGAATGTAGCAGGGCTGGAGCTTTTCATAGCCTAATAGGGTAGTGGTTATGACTGACTCAAAACATTCTGCAAATTTTATTCCACATGTGCAAGAACCGCCCTAATTTTTCTGTGTCTGTTACTGGCTCGAAACGTATTTGACCTTTTAGATTTGACTTTGCTAATTGAAGTACCTTTAAGGAAATTCAGAATGTTGGGACCTGAACTCTGTCTCAGTGTGGTTAGTGGTGGGGAGTCTGAGGAGGGTGCACGGAGGCCGGGACTGTGGTCGGGCGTTGCTGAAGGAGAGTGGTTGAGGTTAAGAAATTTATGAGAAGGCTTGTCTTAGCACTGGATTCCTTGAGGCTCAGGGGACTAAGTAAGCCAAGAGCCTCACTGGCCTGGAGAGCGGAGAGCAAAGGAACAGAGAGCACAGTGGCAGAGTTGAGTAGCTGGAACCCACTTGTTAGATTGCTAGGAGCGCGGTAAAACCATGGGAACTATTGGCCTGGCCTGGGAGTGAGGCAAGAGGTGGCCCTTCTTTATGGAAGAAGAAGACAGTCATCCTCTCCTGCTGCATTAGGGTTCAGGTCAGAGGGATTCTGCTGCCTTATACTAAGCCCAGGGCCATCAGAATAATTACATTGTTATGATCAGCTTTTTTTTTCCAATCATGGTAATGGTTTGATATGTATACTTGTATGTGTGTTTGTGAGAGAAGCAAGATCGTTTTATTGAAACTTAGATGTGAGGGGAGAGAAAGGGAGAAATGTGTGTTCTCTCTTGAACATGGGCTTCTCCAGAGTGGAAATAAACAAAAGAAACAGACGAGCAAGCAAGATAGTGTTCCAGGGAGCGCAAGGGGTTTAAGAGCAAGCCTGATTGGATATATTTCTAGGCTAGTGAGTAAATATCAGTGCTATAGCAGAATAGGTTGTCGTTATATGAATACAACTAAAAATATGAGAGGGCCAGGAATATAGCTTTGGGGTAGAGCACTTGCCTTGCACAAGTCTATGAGGCCCTGACTTCAATATTCAGCGTCTAACAAAAAACTTACCATTTTGAGATTGCTCAAGGGGCTGACTGGGTGCATGCTTGCATTCAGGAGGTGTAGTGCCATGTGCCCTCTCAGTCCCCCAGCACAGAGCTGAAAGTGGCCCTGAGCACTGCCAGGTATGGCTCTCCAAACTAAGGGTCAAACTGAGGACTGGAGAGAGTACTGGTAAGGCACTTGCCTTTCATGTGGCTACCCTGATTCGGTCCCCGGCACCACACAAGGTCCCCCAAGCACCTCCAGGATGGCCCTCCCCCGCAAAAAAGAGATTAAAAATAAATTCAGAATATGATAGGTAGTTCTGTATTTTAGTTTAGTTTTCAAATCTTTGGCCTTTTTTGGGGTGGGGGTTGTTTTGAGACCATACCTGGCCGTGCTAGGGAGGGGCTCGTACGTGGGGTGGTAGGGGTTGAACATGGGACTCCATGTACAAGTGTGTGCTCCAGCCATTTGAGCCATCTCCGGTCTAAAACATTTTATTAGATTCTTTTGAGTAGAATCAACCAACTTTTGTTGAAAACAAGTTAAAGCTCTCCGGTATATTTGTGTCCCAGAATTTGCAGGCACTTCCCCCAGATCAGTTGACTGCTGCTTGCAGATTCAGGCAGTCCAGTTGCTTGGGTCTGTACAGGATCTGGGGGGAGACTTGGTGAGTGGAATTCGGGCCCATTTAGGACCGGACCTCTCCAAAGGACTCGGGTTAGACTTCACAGCACTCATGCTGGAAAGCTGAAAGCGGGGCAGTAAGGAGACCCCTATGTCTGGGTGGATGAGGTGTGCAGCCAGGGATCCCCACTGCTCTGCAGCCTCGCTAAACATCTTCCTCAGGTTCTGAGAGTTTCTCTGTAAATCCTGTGAGTGAGTTTTTACAGCTAAACCCTAATACAGTGTGTAACCCATGGCAGTTGTTTCTTTTCCAGGTCACGGACATGTTTTTCTTACCTACTTGTAATAACTGATATCTTCAGGGTGTTCATGAATACAGGGAGTCAGATGCCAATTTTGAATTTGTTCAGAGCTTAGATACTGATAAATATCAAGCCAAGTGTTTACTGTGCATCTTTTTTTTTTCTTTCAACATGTTCTTTCAGCATTCTTAGTTTGCTGAGGATTTGTTTTGGTTTTGAGTTGTTTTTGTTTCGGATTCTAAATTTTAATTTTATGTTTTTATTAAATTTGCATTCACTGAGACTGTTCTCTCCTTCTAGTCTATTGATGTAGTAGATCCCACTGTTACATTTCCTACTGTGTGACTCTCAAACTTGGCTTTAAAACACACTAATGCCTCCGACCCTCATGCTTCTGAGTCGTCAGAGACTCGTGGGCTTTTGATTGTTTAAGGCTCTCCCAAATAATCCCATCGTTAATAAATAGCCTCGCCTAATTTGATAAATCACTCTTCTTGGACTTGTTTGCTTTTAAACTATATTTGCGATTTCTTTTTACAATGAAAGACTGTTCGCTTTCAGATTCCTGAGAGATCGGCTACTCCACTTTCCTTCTCGGGTTGATTTTGTTCCTTTATATTTCTCTAGAAAACTGCCCTCTTTCCTGTTTTCCAGATTAAGATTTTTCCTCAAGGTTCTGTTGTTATTGCAAGGCTGTCTGCCTGCAGAATTTTGTTTGCTTTTATTAAATAACCTTTGCTCAGGCTGGAACAATAGCAGGTAGGGCACTTGCCTTGCACGTGGCCTTTCAAGTTTGAACCCCCCCCCCTTCGCTGCACCATATGGCCCCCCAAACACCATTAAAATCGATCCCTGATCTCAGAGCCAGGAATAAGCCTCTAGTGTGGAGATCTAGGAGTAGGCCCCTGGGTGTGCCCCCCAAACCAAGAAAATCAAACCAAAACAAAAAGACCCAAAATAATTACTAACCTTTGCTCCTTTTTAAATAGGTGATCTGCGTCCACGATGTCTCGTCCATCTACCGAGTCCCCTTGCTGTTAGAGGAGCAGGGGGTTGTAGACTATTTTCTTCGGAGACTTGACCTTCCTATCGAGAGGCAGCCCCGGAAGATGCTGATGAAGTGGAAGGAGATGGCGGACAGGTGTGCCTCCCCGAGGGAGCGGGTGCTGCCTCCTCATTTTTGTCTTCGGGGACTTTGGGAACCCGCCTGCCGTCGGCATTCACATAGTTGTCTCAGTGTGGGGAAGGGAAGGCTGTGTCTTTGAGGGGTTTTTTTCCCCCTTAAGAATTTTACTTTAAAAAAAACAATCTGTGAGATTTTATATACATATGTATATATGTCTAGAAATTTTAATCTGCCTAGAAAATTAAATCAGCCTAATATATTATCTCTAAACGACCAGTATTAGAACCATAAAAAGAAAAAAACAGAGGGAATGTTGCAAAAATTTGGTCATATGCTGAAATTTACTTCTCAAAACGTAAACATAAATGACTATCCAAGTGATTGAAATTAAAAAAAATCCTAAAAATAGAAACACTCTTCAGTGATAAAATTAGAAACTTGTACAGATCAGAATATTCAATAAAGTAGAATTAGCAATTTATTCCTTGAGGTTCTAAATTCTGTTTCTCATATTCCATAATCCCTCTGTAGAATATAGGAGGCTTGCTTAACTTCTGCCATTCCCAAGCAGAAGTTTTCATCATTACAGGGTCCGCACACCAGTCACGTCCCCATAGTCAAGAGTGGCAGCATAATTGCATGTCATTTCTGTCAGAACCTAAGACTAACATGCAGGTGTGAGATTTTTGAAGCCATCCCCTTGCAGCAGTTTTGCGATTCTGTTTTCTTCACAAAGCCTGCTGTGTTGATTTGGAAATTGCACCTTCCTTGCTGTTCTCTACACAGAACTTAGCTAATAGCTGTGCCCATTGTGTTCTTCTCAGACATTTTTCTTCTTTTAAAAGGCAATTTTGCTGTCACAGTGGGGTGTGCAGTTGAGTGATTGGGTGTGTGTGTGTGTGTGTGTGTGTGTGTGTGTGTGTGTTGGCCTTTTTTTTTTTTTTTTTTTAGTTTCTTTGAATAAATTGTGTGTTGGCCTTTGCTAGGTACGATCGCTTGCTGGAGACCTGCTCTATTGCCCTCGTGGGCAAATACACCAAGTTCTCGGACTCCTATGCCTCTGTCATCAAAGCTCTGGAGCATTCTGCGCTGGCCATCAACCACAAGTTGGAGATTAAGGTAAGGGGGTAGAGCAGGCTCAGCCAGGGCATGAGGAGGGAAGCCTGTGATGGACACGTGTGAGGTGATACATGTGTACAGTCGGGCCGCTGGGGGCTCGTGGACACTGTCAGAGCTGAAGCCTGATCCTCGTCCCGGGAAGTCATTGCAGGAAGTAGAGGCAGGGAGCAGTCAAAAGATGAACAGCCTGGTGGGGGAAAGTGGGCAGAGGATTTGAGCCAAGCGGCCGGGGAGCTAGTACGCTTGTCTCGCACACAGCCACCACTTTGATCCCCAGCACCACGTAAGACCACTGAGCACTGAGCCAGGAGTAAATCTGAGCACAGGGCACAGCTGGATGTGGCCCAACACAGTCCCTCCCTCCCCCTTTTGCTCTCTCTCCTCACAAAGAAAAGAGATTTGAGCGGGCACTTGGATGCAAGACACAGCGGTGTATGTGAGAAGACTCTCAGTGCCACTTGTGGCTAGGGAGCTCACATCACACAGAGGAAGCAGTGGAAGGGTGAGGGGACGACAGGTGCCCATCGAGCGGCTCAGCATGTCTGCGAGGGTGTGGGCCACTCTTGGGAAATGGACCAGGGAAATGGCACGGCCAATTGCGATTGGCCACCGGGAGTCACCACAGCTTGGCAGCCTCTCGCAAAGATGAACAGACAATACCTGGCCCCAGAACTCCACTCTTAGAAACTTCCTCAAGAGAAATGAAATGCTATTTTCAGAAAGAGTTAGGAGGGAAAAAAAAATGGGTTTGTGATAGCCCAGATCTGCAACCACCTAAATATTCAGAACAATTATGTGCGTAAACTTGTGGTCTGCTCTTCAGGTGGAAACCAAATGTACAGTAAAAAGCAGCAAGCTAGTGACCCACACAGCGCCGTGGAAGACAGTGGCCCACACGGGGTCTGGGGGAGGGGGACTTCCTTTGGAGGATGCTTGGGAGAGGCAGAGCCTAGGGAGGGGAGGGCAGGTCCCAGATGGTCTGGGTAGGAGTTGGGAAGTGGGATGTTTGCAGGGGGGACAGAGGAAACTTGGAGAGTTGGTAATAATTTTCTGTATGTTGATGGAGATGGGTGCTGGCCCCAACTTTGTATGTTTGACAGAACTCGCCAAAGCAAAAATTCAAAACACATTTATTTCATTGTGTGAATTATACTTCAGTAAAGCCGAGAGAAATGAAAGCAGTGTGGCTGGGAGGGGCCCTGGGAGACAGGTCTTGGGACAGAGGGCGCTTTCCTGGGCTTAGCGGAGAGGACCCGAAACGCGGGCCGAGGGCAGCAGGGTGGGAGCTGAATGGTCTCGAAGGGCATTCTTGTGCTTTCGTGTCTAAGAAGGACGATCACGATTGATTTGAAGTCGCTGTTTTCGTACACGAAGGTTGTGTAAAAGCTTGATTAAATCGCCAAGGCGGGGACACGGTTGAGAACTGTGGTGGGGAAGCCTGAAGGGAGGTGGCTGTGGAGTCACGAGCCTGCCTCCTCCTCCCCCGTGTGAACCCCCCTCGCCCCCCAGTACATAGACTCCACGGACCTGGAGCCGAGCACCTTGCAGGAGGAGCCGGTACGCTACCACGAAGCCTGGCAGAAGCTCTGCAGCGCCAAGTAAGCTGCACTCCCGCCTGGGGCCGGGCCGGGTTTCTGTGTCGTGGAGCAAGTGAGCACCGGATACCTTTCAGTATCGGAAAGGTGGCATGGCGTAGGACTTGAGCCTTGTGGAAGCGCAGCGTCTTGGGCTGGAGAGATGGCAGACAGGGTCAGGTGCTTGCCTTGCCTGCAGCCAATCCCACTTGGATTCCTGGCGCTGCTTTATAGCTCCCCTCCCTCGCCCCACTCTAGCCAGCACTGCCAAGGGGTGGGGAAAAACTCCCATCCCCCCAGCACTGCCAGGTATGACCCCCAAAGCAAGCAAGCAAAAAAAAAAAAATCAAACATAAGAGACTATTGATATAGTTGAAGCTATGAGCAGGTTGAAGGAAATGTGCTCTAATTTTCGTGATACTTTGATACTTTTTACTCTGTGCATCTATCGGTGAGGCTTATTTCAAGGTCTCATTGCTATCCATCCAATCCACAGAGTCCCACAAATGGTTTTCGGCAGCTTTCACTTTAATAGTCAAAAATTTGCAAGAGTTTCCAGTTCACTGGAACCACTGGATATTCTGGAGCCAGAGAACTACTTCTGAGACAGCAGCTAGAAGCATTTTCAGAGGTTACGAGGGAAAGTTTATCCTTTTGTATTCATCTTCGAAGTTCAAGGTGTTTGTTACAGTTTGCTGGCGATTTTGAAGGGAACAGAAAGAGAGTATGGAGTAGCCTCAATGGTGGAGTGGCTTTGTGGATAGAGTAGTAGCTCTTCGGCATCTGTCTCTTGGGAGTGACCGTGGGGGCTATTGCAGAGCGGACTGGTGGAAAGGGGGTCACCTCGTGTGCTTTCCTCTGCAGCGGAGTGTTGGTTCCGGGGGGATTTGGTGTTCGAGGAACCGAAGGAAAAATCCACGCAATCGCCTGGGCTCGGAAGCAGAAGAAGCCGTTTTTGGGTAAGGAGCCGGGAAAAGCAAGCAGTGCTCAGGGTTGCTGAACTGAACTAACTGGAACCAGGCAGCCGCTGTCTTTCTGGACAGCACGTTCTAGCCAAGCACCCTTTCAGTTCTCTGGGGAGCAGCACACACTCACCTTTCTGTGCTTCCCGGCCGCAGGCTGGGTTCCGGAGCGCTGAGAATGAAGCCAGGACCAGCTCCGCATCGGAGGGATTGCTTGGGCCTCTAGCATTTGCAGACTGTGGGGGGTTTCCTGCCGCTCAGTTTCTGCAGTCATTACAGATGGGCAGGAAAACCCCGTGGTTCAAAGCACTGAATAGAGTATTGTCTCACGACAGTTGGTCATTGGTTAGCTTCTGAAACTGGGACTCTTCCCACATCTGTAGGTCAATTAGGGGCAGCTGAGCCGGATGAAGCACAGCAGCCCGGGGTGCTTCTTGGTAGCTGGGAATCCTGAGTTTGTAGTTGTAGTTCTCTGACCACCTGGACATCATGTCCATGGCAGGTTGGTGGGAATTGGGTAGTAGGGATTGGGAGGGGGAACAGGGCGGGTGACTTTCCATGGAAATTTCATTTGTTTCTCTCCCGCTGCAAGGTGTGTGCCTCGGAATGCAGTTGGCAGTGGTGGAGTTTTCGAGAAATGTGCTGGGATGGCAAGGTAGGTGTCTGGGTAGCTCTCTGAAGTTCTTCCATGCTCCCTGGGGCCGCGAGGCTGAGAGCCATGGGCCCATCCCTGGGGCTGCGAGGCTGAGAGCCATGGGCCCGGACAGGCTGGTATCCCAGCACCCCGGAGGGAACCACAGTGTTGACAGAAACGGGGACAGATTCCGCCAACTGTGGAGGTGGGTGCGCGGCTGCCGGGTGTGAGGGTGCTGGAGACCCTCTTGCCTCTCTCCCCGAAGTCACTGTCTCCAGGCTGGGGCCCGTGGGAGGCCCTGTGGATGCTGGAGTGCTCAGCCCTGGACCCGGATTCGGGCCTGATCCTCAGCTCAGGGCACTTTTAGGCAGGCTGTCGCAGGGTAGCCTCTCCTGAGGCAGGAGGTTGCGTTGGTGTCTGCGTCTGCTGGCTGTCAGGGTGAAGAGACAGTACTCAGAGGCCGGCCCGGCACGGTGTCGGCACGGTGTCCGGCGGATAGGAGATGCCCATCATCTTCGCCCGGGTAACTGCTGCCCCAACCACCCACACTCGGGTTTGTGACACCCAAGGGTTTCGGCTCCTCACCGTATCTCGAGACCACCCTGCCCTGCACTCCCCACTAGGCGCATGGACTGTTCACCCCACAGGGTAGCCGCCTGCTGTGAGGCGGGGACACGCGTGGCAGGTGACTTCTGAAATGCCAGGCCCAGTGTGCAGGCATGTCTAGCTGGCACCCGACCCCATGGCCACGCCTGAGCCCAGCGGTTGTTCTAGGCCGGGAGGGGTCAGGACTGCTTCCCGGAAGAGTCTGCCACCCACATTCTGGTCTCTGCAGCCGGCAGGCTGACAAACGCGAGGTTTCCAGAAAGGCCTTTGGAAGAGCAGAGCTGTTTGATTTGGAAGTAAGAGCAGGCCCTCTGGGGCCGGGCTGTTGGGCCAGGCTCTTCTCACCTGTTCCGAGTGGCTTCCCAGTAGCCCCGAGGGCACAGTGACTCAGCCCTCTGGGCAGTGTGCCCATTGCTTGTGGCTTCTGAGCTCCTGGCAGGCACGGTCTGTCCTCGCAGCCCCTTGCAGCTGGCCCGGGGGGCACCTGGGATCCTTTCTCGGTCACCACCTGCCACCCACAGTGGCTCCCAGGTGGACGGGTGACCTGGTGTGAGCTTCGCTGTTGGCGGTCAGCCTTGTGCACCGGAAGAAGGGACCTGGGTGCCAGGAACTGCATGCCCCCCTCCCCCGCTTGCAGGTGGTCTGGGTCAGAGAGTTGGTCTCTGATGACTCAGTTGCCGGAAGGAAAGGAATGAGGCTGAGGCTGGGGCCAGCTGCTCCTGGACAGCTTGAAGCCGCAAGAGGCCTTGAAGATCTAGGCCAGACCTCTGGTTTTCTTCTAGTCTCTCTTTCTGTTCTCCATCCCTGGCGAAACTCCTGACAGATTTAAAGGATAGTTTATGTGAAAGTTTGTTTTAAGTGTCTTCATGTTCCTGGGCCAGGGAGATGGCACGGGGACGGGCGGCTGCCTTGTGTCTGTCACCTGCCAGTTCCATCCCTGCCACCACAAGGCCCCCAAGCGTCACTGGGTAGATTCCTGGAGGGCCCTCTCTGGGGGTCCCTGGAAACACTGCTTGGGGCACCCCTACCCGAAAAAAAAATTAGAGTTGTTCATCCTAGTTTATCAGCAAACTAGGAGGGAAGTCATGATTTTAGCGCTTACGAATACAGCACTTAAATCAATTCGTTTTGATAAAAAAGATTGTTTCCATTTTTCAGATGCCAATTCTACCGAGTTTGACCCAAAGACCAATCACCCAGTGGTGAGTTTCTGCTTCCGTGCTTTCACTGAATGGGTCCTTGTTGTCTTGCCCCTTCTCCTGGGAAGGGTTAGAAGCCGGAGCACTGGTGGCTGCGGTCATTCCCCGGCCCTCGTTCCCGTGTCAGCCTCGGAGACTGGTAGGAAGCGGTCAGAGGGACGCTTGGGTTGCGCTCAGCCCATTCCCATGCGGATCCCTGGGTTTCAGCCCCTTGGGACATGCATGCGCCTGGCGCGGAGGGGACACCCTGCTCCATGCCTTGCGGCTCTGTAACTGACGCTTTCTGAGGCCAGCACACACCATGGAGTACATCTCCTATTGGAGGAAGAGATGGTGCCTTTATTCATCATTAAATCCTTAGCACGGGGTGGCAGGCCTATGGTTGATCTTGGGACACCGATAGACGAGCACCTTGACCTCAGGGCACTTATGGCACCGTTAAACTTGTGCTGCCCGAAAATAGATTTTGCTGAGATGAAGAACACGGGAGGGCCACACTTTACGAAACCTGGTGCTGGAGGCAGTGGGGCAGGCAGGACCCAGAGGTCTCCGGTCAGAAAGTGCCCAGAGGCCTGGGGATGCGGCCGGACTTGAGCTGGGGCCCTTGTGGGCACCCCTTTGCGCGGTGTGGTGAGGACACCTGCAGCCTGGCTCTTGGCTGCTCTGCCTGTCTGGGTTAGAACACGCACGGCCCGCAGCACCGCCCGGGAGTCAGCCCTTACCCACGGAGGAAGGTAGAGCTGGAGACTGAGGCCCTTCACAGGGGGCCCCCTCCGGCACAGGGGGGTCCCAAGCCCCATGTATCTTGTTCTGGAACCCCTCTAGGTCATCGACATGCCAGAGCACAATTCCGGGCAGATGGGTGGAACCATGCGGCTGGGCAAGAGGCGCACCCTGTTCCAGACCAAGAACTCCGTCATGAGTAAGGGCGGCTGCGACGGGCGCCTCTGTGCGGCCAGGGCCCCGCAGGGCTAGGCTGCCTTCTGGGCTTGGTTCTCCTTCCTGTCTCCTCCGGCTCGTTATTACACTCTGCCGTGGAGCCTGAGAAGCCTGTGGGAGTCGAAAGAGGACAAACGGGGACATTCCCTATAACCCGCCCCCTCTTCATCCACCCCTAGGTCCCACAGGTGATAAGCTGCTGATACGCTGTGAATTTTGTCCCATAAAAATAGGTTTATTAAATATTTAGGACGTTCTCCAGTTTTAGGGGGCGCTTGGGTGGCCGGTGTTTCACGCTGTCAGGGCTTGCCCCATACCCAGGCGACCCTGCCAGGGTTATCACAGGTCTGCGGAGTGGGAGTCCCGGGGATTGACTTCTGGACCTGCCTGGAACCCACTGCTGCCGGCCTGTTAATAGATGAGGTGCCAGGGGCAGCCAGGCAGCTCAGATGGTCTTAGGGCTCCTGCCTGGGGTAGTTGCCCGGGAAGTTTCCACAGAAATGTGCCCTGTGACTTGGGAGCCCCATTCTGGGTGGAGAGGCAGGTCTGCTTCTCCTTGTGGTCACACATCGTAGGACCACGGCTCGGGGGCAGCTTTGGGCGGTTCCAGGCGATTCTGGGTGATTCCGGGGAGGGGGCCCAGGGTGTAGGAGCACTTGACAAGGCCCAACTGTCCTGGCTGTGTGTGTGCTGGACCTGATGGTCCTCAGAGCTTGTGTGGGGAGGCCTGTGGGTCATGTCAGTCTGCTCGCTCCCCAGGGAAACTCTACGGGGACCTGGATTACTTGGAAGAGAGACATCGCCACCGGTTTGAGGTGAGGAGATGGCATCTGTGCCTGCTTGGTGCTCCTGCCCGGTGCTCTGGGAAAACACAGTGCATGGGAGACCAGCAGAATCATGCCTCACGCTTCCACAGGTGAATCCAGTCCTGAAGAAGTGTCTGGAAGAGCAGGGCTTGAAGTTCGTCGGACAGGATGTGGAAGGAGAGAGAATGGAAATCGTGGAGTTGGAAGGTGAGTGCATGCGCAGTGTTGGCGGACAGCTGTGGAAGACGCGGGTGTCCTGGGCCCATGGAAATGAGGGAAGGAGTGACGTCCAGGCAGCAGCCCCGGCTCTGGGGGGGACCAAGGGTCTCGGCAGCGAGGGGCTGGTGTGCCTGCCCTGGGCAGCCAGGGATGTGGGAGGAGCCCCTCGCTGACCCTCGGGCCTGGGCATCTCTGGGGGTCCCCCTGGAGGAGGGGGGACAGCGCCAGTGTTATCTGGGAACTGGGTCAGGGATGGGGAGCAGTGAGCAAGCGAGTGAGCCTCTCCCGCCTCCCCGTTCTGTCGGCATGCGGAGTGACGCTGTGGCTTGTGTGCTGTCTTCCAGATCACCCCTTTTTTGTGGGTGTGCAGTACCATCCTGAGTTCCTGTCCAGGCCCATCAAGCCGTCGCCCCCCTACTTTGGCCTCCTCCTGGCCTCCGTGGGCCGACTCCCGCATTACCTCCAGAAAGGCTGCAGGCTCTCGCCCAGGTACGCTGGCGACTTGCACCCAGGGGTCTGCCCAGGTGCCCGCCCCGTCCCGCCCGCACTGGCCCCTGTGCACTTCCTGCCCCGGCGGGTCGGGGGGCTTCGGTGTGTGGCCGAGGGTGGCCAAATATCTGCCTTTGGAGATGAGGGGAAACGTGCTCGGCCACACCCGGCGCCGCACCCCCGAGTGGCCGCGCCCTTGGAGAGTGGGAGGGAGCCGGGCACCCCGTGGCCGTCACAAACGGGGTGAATAAAGCGTCTGAATCCCGCAGGGACACCTACAGCGACAGGAGTGGGAGCAGTTCCCCTGACTCGGAAATCACGGAGCTCAAGTTCCCGTCAGCGAATCATGACTGAAGTCGGCGTGAGTAGCTCTGGAGGCTTTTGTGAAGTGCAGAGCCCGGGCGTGGTGGGGTCAGCGGGCGGGAAGGTGCTGAGACACACCCGCTTCGGGGGTCTTGGGTGGCGGCCAGGCTGGCCAAAGCTGAGGGAGCTGCTTTAGGCCCTTGTTATTTCAGGTAAATGGAAATTGTGAGTGTGAGTGTGCTCTTGAGTGTGACAGGATGGCGTTTGTCATGCTGGCAGAGCCCCAGGATTGAGCCAGGAAGTGCTTCCCTCTTCCGTTGTATTGTCGTTGATTCGAAGCGGTTCCGAGTGTCGCACCAGTGGGGTGGGGGCACCACCAGAACTTCAGCGTCCCCAAGGAGCCGTGTGCCCATGTCTCCCACCCGCTCACGGCCGTGCTAGTCTTCACCCAGTCTCGGAGCTCATCAACCCATTTTGCTCTAGTCATTCGTATCCCACATGTGGGTGAGCGGTGAGACCATTACTTCAGTGGTTTTTGATCTTTCGTTTTTGGGGGTGCACCCGGTGGCACCCAGAGACTGTTCCCAGGCCCCAGGCTCTGTGCTCCGGTCACTTTCCGGTGTCGTGTCGTGCCGTGCCAGGGCTGGAGCCTGGCGCCCCGTGTGCAGGCCCGTGCCCCGTGCCGAGAGAGATCTTTCCGTACCGGGCTTTTGCGCAGGCTCCTTCCTGCTAGCTGCTGCTTGTTCCAGAAAGGCCCCAGAACCCAGACAACAAAAGGGAGCTCAGTCTTTCAGTGACAGGATGTCCATGTTTTTGAAGTAAAGTCGTGGGCGTTTGTGAGGTGTGAAATCCCTGAAGACAGCAGAGTGGTGGGCGGGGAGGTGGTTGGCAGGGCTGTGTTGGCTCTCATGCTGGACACCCAGGGTTTGGCCCCAGGCACTGACTGGTCTCACAGGCACTGCTGGGAGCTGCCCTCTGGGCGTGGGGTTGACCCCAACCCCTTCCCCACCAGAAACTTACTTGCGTGGGTTTCTTTAGTCTAAATAAATGTACTGCTGGTGGGGTAAAGAGGTATTGGGGGAGGGGTCAGAAATCTGGGCTGGCAGGCTGCCCCGGGGTCCTGCTCCCCCACTGGCTCTGCCCGCAGGCGAAGGGTCTGTGAGGAGCACTTGCTGCATCCTCTGCCGGGCCGCCCTGAGCACAGATGCTGGCCCGCGTGGGGCAGAGCCCACCAGGCTGACGGCTGGTCGGAACAGCTGCCCCGGCAGGTATGGGCTGCAGGAACCGCCCGTCCCCACCTGTAGACTGGCATGGCGCCACGACCTGGCGGTTAAAAACCGCCAGCTTCCATGGCATTTCAGAGTGCCTCACTGAGTTCTGGGGAGATTTCCCATCAGCGGGTTCCCCGTGGGCAGCCGTGTTGGGGGGTCGCACAGCTGGGGCCACGGGTGGGCAGGCTTTGTGGGGTCAGGACTCCGGAACCACAGAGGAGACACAGGCTGGTGGTGACTGGGGTTTTGCTTTTTCACACAGGGACGATTCTCCAAGCAGCGCCTTCAGACGCCTTCCGATGGAGTTAACAGCTTTGATCTCACACTTGGCTTTTGACACTTCCTTTAAATTATGTTTGTATTCAGATTATTTTACTATGGGGAGCAGTATCCGGGAGGCCGCCAGCTCCCGCCCGGAGAGCTGCGTGGAGCTGGACATGCTCCTTCACGTCTACACCTTGCAGACTAGCAGCAGGACCTGGGGGCCGGAGTAGATGCCGGGTGCGGCTGGTGGAGGGCCCCCCTCCCGCCTCGCCCTGTTTCTCCGCCTACCTCGCATCATTGTGGATTGGTGTGGTAGCCCGAGGCTTCTCCTGGAGGCCGGACCCTTTGGAGCGAGCAGGGAGGGGCGCCTTAGCTGGTGCTTACACCAGCTGGCACCTGGCAGCAGGGGGGTCCGTGGGGTAGGGCAGCCGGAAGCCTGCCTATGGGTTTGGTTTTTAGCACCCCAGGCTCTGACTGAGCTCTTCCCCCCCGGGGCCCGGGAAACACTCCTTGCATCAAGGGGGTCCCTTAGCGGAAGAGCAGGCTCTTGGGAACTGCCTCTGAACGGCTCTTCCAGGGAGCCTGGCTCGAGGGGACTTTTCCTTCCAGAAAGGTGTCAGCTGCAGTCGATGGGCAGGCGGGCAGAGCTATTTTCTTAGCAGGCGGCAGCGGCGGGCACAGCTGTGCGCCCGTGTTCTGGCGGGACGTGGTGTATACTCTAACTTAAATAAACAGCAGGACCCAGCATGCCCTCGGCTCATGGTGCTGTGTCATGGCCCCATGGACACGCTCGACTCCGGGTACGTGGTCGCCGTGCTCGGTCCGATTGCTTACACGCTTGGAGGGAGGCCCTGCTGCTTCTCAGGCACCAGAACTGTCCAGAAAAGGCTTCGGGGGCTGGAGCACATGCCTTGGGTGTGGGAGCCCCAAGTTTGGTTCCTGGCACCGCCCGGACCAGTCCCGAGACATGCCTGATATTTGGTTCTCAGCATCTATTCAGACTTGCGGGTACCAGTGTGGGCCTGCTTCTCCCTGCTGGGCCTGGACCTGGGCCCCAGCACACGACCAGGGGGGTGGAGACTGGCACCTGGTCGCTGACAGGACTTGTCCCTCTGCACCCCGCAACTGTGCCTCGGGTCTGCTACCCCGGGTGGGGGAAGCCCATGGCAGTCTCTGCACCCCACAAGGGATGTGGCTGAGGTCGGCCCACGCCCAGTCTCTGGCTGTGGGTGCTTCTACTTCTGACTACGTTCTTGTGGAGGTGTCAGCAGAGATTCTGGACTAGGGTGGGGGTGAGGGTTATGGACAGCCGGTGCTCCCCCGCCCTTCCACGCACTCACAGGAGAAACTGGCTATTGGATGGAACCTGTCAGCATTTATTCTGCTCCTGCATCACACATACCCAGGAGGATGTGCACTCCCTTGGACCCTTCTTACTGTCCAGGCTGCCGTCTGTCCATTCCCCACCCCATCCCACCCCCAGGGTAGGTTCTCCAGGACTGAAATAAAAAGTTTTCACTTGCACTGTCGTGGTACTTTGAGCGTGGCTGGTGGGTGGGATGCAGACATTTCCCAGTGTGTATAAACAACCTTTTCCTGTGCCCAGGGATTAGGTCTGCCCTAAGTGCCAGCATGTTCCTGCAGTAGGGTGGACGTGGGATTGCCTGGAGTGGCCTCAGCTGGCCAATGTATAAGTGCTGGCCAGTTGCACGCCCTTTCAGGAAAAGTGGTCCAGACAATTTCTGGACTTGGTGCATGCTGAGGTTGGTTCTCAGTTCTCATGGGGGCACGGGGGTGGGGCGGGGGAGAGCCGTTCTGGCTGAGGTCCGTGACCCTTTACTCCTCCAGGTGACCCACAGCTCCTTGGCTGGGTCTCCACGGGCACCAGTGCTTTGCCAGTGAGGGCATTTCTGAGGCCGGGGGCCATGCACTTGCAGCCACAGACCTGCCTGCCTGCCTGGTCAGCCCTCAAGTGGTCCCTGAGAACCGCCTGAGGCCCTGTGATCAGGTCTCTCTGGGGGCCCCGAGGGGGTCTTGGCGCCCTGGCCACATCTGACGTGTGTGCCAGCAGCTGAGTGGGTGTCTGGGAGATGGCGTAGGGGGGACTGCTGTTCCAGAGCTGTGTGTGCCCCTCGCCCGGGGCCCTGGGCATGGTGGATGAGGGATGGAGATGGGCATCCCTCAGGTGCCCCGTTTGGGCGTGAAATGTCTGGAAGCTCAGATTAAAGATTCAGGATGCATGAGTCACCTGCCGCACCCAGTATGTTTGAGGTGTGCTTGTGAGAGAGGCCAGCCCCCCTCGGGTGGTGTAGCTGCAAGGGGGGTGGGGTGGTGCTGCAGGGTGGAGGCTGAGGGGGGTCAGAAGGGAGCGGGAGCTGTCAGTTTGATTATGGGGAGAAATGTATCGACCAGATTCTCAATTTGGCTGATACCCCCCTTTTCAGAAAATTAATGTCCCCTTCCACCCCCACCCCAGAAATCTACTCATAAACAGTGTCTCCCGCATGTACCCGGGGCCCCTAGGAGCAGCGCTGCAGTGTGAGCTTGGGACAAGCCCAGTCAAGGCCGCTTTATGGAGGCTCGGGTGGAGTCGGAAGTGGGTGGCCAGAGGTGTGGGAAGGGAAAGCCGTGGGCTCGTGTGAGAGTGTGTCACCCTCGCAGCGCCTTGCCAAGTGCCCCACTCCCATCCCTCGCTGCTGTCCTGTAGGAGAAAGGGAAGTGACACCCATCCCGAACCTCCAAGATGTCCTTTAAGGCACAAGGGGACAGACTGACCCCTACAGCTCCGGGCCTGGCTCTGCCGCAGGTTACCGGGTAGGGCACCCAGGACCCCCGACTGAGCTGTTCCACCGAGAACCCCAAGACTAATGCGCCTCCAAGGAAACTAGTTCCTGGCCTTGTGGCCACCCAGAGCTGAGTCCCCGACCTGCTCAGATGAACCTTTTGGGGAAGGGGACCATCTTGGATCCCTCAGGCCCAGGATGGGGGGGATGGTGGGGTTGAGTTCTCACCCAGTCTTTCTGGAAGGTTCCTGGAGGATCACGCCAGAATAAGACTTGAGGGGCTGGAGAGATAGCACAGTGGGTAGGGCGTTTGCCTTGCGGCCAACTCGGGTTCGATTCCCAGCATCCCATATGGTCCCCCGAGCACCACCAGGAGTAATTCCTGAGTGCAGAGCCAGGAGGAACCCCTGAGCATCGCCAGGTGTGACCCAAAAAGCAAAAAAAAAAGAAAAAAAATAAGACGAGCTGTGAACTGGGAATGGAGCCTCGCGGGGGCTGCCTGAGTTCCCTAGGGTCGGGGAGCGGCCCCCAGGGTTTTATTGGGAGGCCTGGGTGGGGGAGGGTGTCTCCAGCGGGTGCTCACATGACACAGCAGGTGCAAGAGCGGGGCTGGCGGCGCTGCAGCTGCTGCCGGAGCTGCTCCTTCTCTGCTGTCAGCGCCTGCACCTGCTCCTCCAGCTTGCTCAGCTCGGCCATCCACTTCTAAGGGCACAGGGTGGGCGGGCTCTGGCCCGGGATGCTGGGCAGCTGCTCCCCAGCCCACCCCTACCAGGAGGAGTCGTGCCCCCGGACTCGAGGGCAGCGCCCAGACCCTGGGATGGCGGAGCGTGTCCAGCCCCCCTGGGTGCCCAGCAGCTCAGAAGGCCTTTGCCATCCCCACCCATCCGCCGGTCTCAGCTCCTAGCCATTCCTCTAATCTCTGGAAGGTTTGTCCCAGGGATCCAACTCGGGGCCTTGTGCATGCAGGCCAGGTGCTGTGTCACTGCCTCCCGGAGGCCCTCTTCTTCGGCTTCCCGGCGGCTTCCTGCCACCACCTGCCATTTCCCTCTTGCAAAGCGGGGGGGCAGCAGACAGCCCTGGGACCACCCAGGGCTCCCCCAGCCACGGAGCAGAGACACGAGGGCGGGGGGGGGGTGTGTGGAGGGGCCTCCCTCTTCCCCCACGGGTCCCACCCACCCACCTGCCGGCACCACTCCTGGATGGCGTGCACGGACAGCGGGCCCTGGATGCTCCCGTCCCGCCGCAGGAACACCTCCCCCTGGTCCGTCTCGTAGAGCCGGGGTTCCACGGGGGCCTTGGGGGCGCGCACGCTCAGGCGGATCACCTGGGGGAAGCCACAGCGGCGCTGGTCGTGCCGTCCGGACCTGGCCGTGGTGGCCGGCCGCGGTGGCGCCAGGACTTGCTCCCAGGGGTGCCTGCCTCCTAGAAGCAGCCCTCCTCCGCCCCCGCCCCCCCCCCACCGCCCACCTTGAGAGGGGCGTGCGTGGAGGCGCTGACCACGGGGATGAAGGCGAGCGTGTAGGCATCGGGGAAGACCTGCGGCCGGAAGCCCTGCAGGACGGAGTCCACCAGCAGGCGCACGCGGTCCTCGTCGCGCCGGCTGCAGCGCGTGCCCAGCACCACGCCCGTGTCCTCCACGCCCACGAACAGGCTGCCGCCCTCGCTGTTGAGGAAGGCGCACACGTAGCGCCGCACGTGGTGCTTGAAGGTCAGGGTCAGGTACTCGCCGCCGCCGCGCTTGAACTCCACGTTGCGCGTCTCGCTGCCCAGGCAGGCGCCCTGGAAGAGCCGCTCCTGGCCCAGGATCTCCTGGTACCCCAGGGCGCTGTCGGAGCGCGCGGTGCTCGGCAGACCCTGGAGGCTGCCCCAGCGTGGGGTCGTGGGCGGGCTGGGTGAGGTGGACGGCCAGTCCCGCGGGGGGCTGGGGCCCGGGCTGGGGCCTGGGCTAGGGCCCGGGCTAGTGCCGGGGCTGGGGCCACTGTCCTCCTGCTGGTGAGGGGTGGAGAGGAGGTTATAAGGAGGGCGCTGGGGCAATAGCACAGCAGGTAGGGCATTTGAACTTAGCCTGCGGCCCACCCGGGTTCGATTCCCAGCATCTCATAGGGTCCCTCGAGCGCTGCCAGGAGTAATTCCTGAGTGCATGCGCCAGGAGTAACCCCTGAGCATCGCCAGCTGTGACCCCTCGCCCGCAAATAAAAAAGAAAAAAAAATAAGGGTGGGTTATAAGGACCCAGCAAGAGTGGTACGCCCGGACCCCTGCCTTCTCACGTGTCCTCCGGGCAGGAGCTCTGATTCTTTTTTCTTTCTGGCTTTCTGGGTCTCACCCGGTGATGCTCAGGGGTTACTCCCGGCCCTGCTCTCAGGAATTACTCATGGCGTTGCTCGGGGGACCATATGAGATGCAGGTGTTTGAACCTGGTTGACCACGTGCAAGGCAAACCCCCTATCTGCTGTGCTATGCCTGTTCTGGCCCCAGGAGCTCTGATTCTGCCCCCGATCCTGGGCCAGGTACCCTTCTCCTCCTTTGCCCTGGACTTCCCCCTTATGGGGCTCCGGGCAGATCTGCGCTGGGTGTGAAGGGCTCTCTTTCCAGGGCTGAGAGCTGGGGGTCCCCAGGGGGCCACGTGCATCCCACCTGGGGTGCAGATGGGCCTCTGAGACCCAGGTCTACTTGTTCTAGGGGACAGAGCAGCAGCCTGGAGCCCTGCTACAAGCCTTGGAACTGAGAGGGGCTCCCGGACACCCCTCCTTCTTGCTGGCCTCGCTGATGCCTGGTGTCTACTGGAGGGGGATCAGGGCTTCCTGGGTGTCCTTTGGTGGGTTCTGCCCTGAGCAGGCTGTGTCCCTCACTGGGCTTCCCACCCCCGCCCTCTACAGGTCATGCGGTTACTCCTCAAACTCGCCTCCCCATGTGCCCCTGGTCCCTGGGCTGTCACCCCACAGCCCCGCACTCACCTCTCTGTGGCCGGGGGGCCCCCGGCCTTCCCCCACTACCAGCTCCTTCCCGCGGGCCACGAGCTCCTGCAGGACCTGGTGCTCCTCCATGGCCATGTGCAGGCGCGAGGGCAGTGAGGCCAGCGTGGCCTTGTGCGCGGGCACCCGCACCAGCGCGTAGGCCTTGCGCGGCCGCCGTACCACCTCGATGTGCTCACGTGCCACTGGCAGCTCCAGCCGCTCCAGCGTGTCCCGCAGCAGGCAGGTGAGCACGGGCACCGAGAACTGGGGGTTCAGGTGGCCCACGTAGAGCAGCTGGGTGCCAGGCGCCTCCTGGGGCCTGGCCGTGGCGTCGGGGAGGGGCTGTGCGGCGGGGGTCTCCATAAGGCCTTCCTCGCCTGTAGATTTCTTCTCAGGGGACTCCAGGGTCCTCCAGGCCTGTGGCTCCTCCCAGCTCTCACCAGGGACACCGGAAGCACCAAGGCTCCTGGGGGTGTCACACAGTGGCAGGGACTGGGCAGGGATGGAGAGGGGAGGGGGCGGAGGGATGGCAGGAAAGGGCCTGCCACCCACCTGTGGCCTGGGACAGGAGAGGGGGGTTGGGTCAGAGGCTGAGTGCTGGGGACCGCCCCCGCATCCCACACAAGGCACCCTGGGGGTCTCTGCTGCCTCTCCTGGCCTACAGGTCTTGTTTACCTCCTAAAGCCTGGGGAATCCTGGGTGCTCTGGGACTTCCTGGCCACGGAGACCCCTGCTCCCCGGACTATGCCCTACTGGCCTCCTGGGAGACACCCTACTCAGAGCCCCGGGCGTCAGGGTCCACCGCCATCTCCTGATGCCTGGTCTGTGGGCAGGGCACCCTGTGGATCTCTGGAGCAGGGCTGGACCCCGGGGTTGAGGTGGACCAGCCTGGACTCCGGGGAGATGAGAATTCTATCACTGGACCACCAGTGCCTCCTTGGTTTGGAGTCCTTTGGAAGCAAGGCCCTTCCGGGACATGGGAATGGCCTTTGATCTCAAGTCTGAACATCTCTGCTTGGTCGCGAGAGCAGAAAGGGGTGGGAGGTACGAGGCCCAGAGCTGGGACCCCTGGGACATCCCTTCTGCACTTTGCACATGTGTCAGCCCCACACTCACCCCTGCGCACAGCTGTGGGTCAGCGTGGGGGGCGCCTTGGGGCTGCATCTTTTCAGATCAGATCCTTCAGGGCACACGGGAGAGGAGGAGAGGGAAGGCCTGGTGCCCTGGTGGTTCCTGGGGGAGCAGGGGCGGGCGCCATCTCTGAGCTCCCACAGCCCCCGCCCCTGGCCGATGAGGGAACTGGGAGTCAACAAGCAGGCGCCAGGCAGGAAGCGGGCGGGGCCTGACAGCCGCTTCTGTGAGCTCACGAGGGGCCACAATGCCTGCTGGTGGGTGTCAGGCCTAGTGCTGGGAGCCCCCTGCTCCGCCCCAGCACACAGACCCCTCACCCCACTGCTTTGCTGCGGGCCCCCCTCTGGGACATGCCTCCTCCCACCCACGCCTGCAGCTTCGGTCACCTGTCCTGGGCACCACTGGACACTGCTGTGCCCAGCTCCCTGCGGGCGGGACCAGCACACACAACTGCTCTGGGGGTCCCCCTGCACTGGTCCCCACACCGTACTAGACACAGCTGCTGGCCAGCAGAGTTAACGATTAGGTCAAGCTGCGCCATGGCCGCGATGCAGGGTGAGGTGGGTATTCGAGGCACAGAGGAGACCCCCCACTTCATTGCTGCAGAAATCTCCGTTTGGGGGGGCATGGATGCGTTGCTGAATGATGTGGGTATTCAGGGCACAGAGGAAACCCCCAATTTATTGCTGCAGAAATCTCCGTTTGGGGGGGTCCGGGGGGGAGTGAGTGACGGGCTTCCTCACTCAGCAGCTCTGAGGTGGCACTTTGCCATGCAGCTGCAGTGCAGGGCTGGGGGGACCCCCCAGGCAGCATGTGTTAGACCGGGGTCACCGCTGGACCAGATTCTGCTGGGAAGGAGCGGCTTTTCTGAAAGCCCACAGAGCTGGTTCCTTTTTGCCCTCAGGGGCTGAGGTCAAAGCTGGGGGTGGGGGGGTGGGGAACAGACTACGGTGAGGGGCCCCGGAGCCCCTTCTGCGGGCCCTGCCTCCTGCTCACTGCTGTGGTATCCACAGCTCACAGCTCCTGACCCCATGGCTTGAGACTCTCCAGGTCTCCCTTCTCTTTGCCTCCTGATGCTCCGGACCCTTCTGGGTCCTCCCGTGGGACGTTTGTGACTGTATGTGACAGACCAAACTTGGCACTGGGAAATCAGCTCTTGAGTTTCAGCTTCAGCATGTGAAACTGAAGAGGAGCACCAGAAGCAGGAGGGCTGGTCTGTTCCTGCCCCAGGGCCTGGAAGGTGATGCTCACTGCCCAGCACAGTCAGCTGTGACCCACCTCAGGGGCCACTGGGATCCTTGGGAGTAGGAAGGATCAGGAAAGTGACCTTGGAGCTGGGGATATGGTCACAGCCTGTGTCCATTAACCATAATCACTCTGGCCCGCCCAGGTCTGCCCATCACTGCCCGCTGGGTCCTGCCTGGCGTGCAGTGGGTACCAGGAACCCACTGTCTGCTCATGGGTGCCCGTCCTAACTGGCCCAAGAGGTGCAGGCAACAGTTCTGGTGCTGCAGGCCAGGCTCACACGCAGAGACGGGTCTGTTCGGCCTCAAAAGTTCTGATGCCAGCTGGCCACTGACCACTTCGCCAAGGCCCCGGAGAAGAGTAAGTGTAAAGGGGTGGTGGATGTGTGAACCAGTTCCTGCTGAGGGCTCCCAAGTGTCCTCTTGGGCCTTGCAAAACCAGACCCAGAACCCCAAGGAGGGAACCAGTCACAAGAGCCTCGGCACGAAGCCCTTGCTGGGTGCAGAACCAGACCACTTCCTGGCACGACGGGGCTGCTCTTTGCCCCCGTGGGTGTGTGCGTTGCGAGGAACAGGTGAGATAATTCCTACCAGCACAGACTACGTGCTGCCGCTGCAGGGAGTGTCCATGTCCCTGTGAGGGCAGCTGCTTCTCTGCTGTGACCCATCAGGAACACTCCCCCACAGGTGACAGCCCACCCCTCACTCCCGTGATCACTGAGGTGGGTGGGGATGGTGCCGGCCACCCTAGCCTGCATCTCTCCTCACTCCCAAAGAGAAACTAAGAGGGGCCCTCTGCGGGGAACTGTGGACTCCATCACTGTCCTGCTGGCACTCAGGGCAGGGAGTGACAACCCCGCCCTCCTCCACCGCCTGTCCTAGGGCACTGGGCAGGCAGTGCTCACCTTCTCACTCATCCTGAGGGGCTGCAGGAGGCAGAGCTTCAGGGGAGGGCCGTGTCCATGCCTGGGGAAGCACACTGACCTGCTGTTGGGGGCAGTGATTGCATGAAAGAGACCCTGGCATCCGTGTTGTCTTTTATTTAGAAACAGATCGACATAAAATAAGTCCCGACAGCAGCAGGGGTGGCTCCGAGGTCGACGTGCTTACATAGGAAGCGTGTGGAGAGTGGATGTGGCCCACCAGACTCCGCTGGGAGACCCTCCCCTCCACACCGCTGGGCAGGGAGGGGCTGGGGCAGCGGGAGCGCCCCCTTGAGGAAGGAAGGGAAAGGGCGCCCACATCCAGGCCTCCCAACTCTGATGGGGGCGAGGGGGTGGGGTGGTATCCAGGCTTCATGGGGGGTCAGGGCCGCCCCAGAGAGAAGGTGCTGCGGGAGTGGCCGTGAAAAGGACCGTGTCTCTGCGGGGCAGCCGCTCCTGAGAGCCAGTGTCCGGGAGGTGAGGAGCAGCAGCCCGGAGGGGCTTGCCCCAGTGCCAGAAACAATAAATTAGCAATAAGAAAAGATCTTCTTTTTTTCCTCTTTTTTTTTCTTTTTAAAAAAGGGAGAGGTTCGCACCATGAGTCAGAAGTGTGGGGAGCGCTGGAGTGGGGGTCATTCCAGCCCCGGCAGCAGGGACTGGGCTCCCGGGCCAATGCAGGGCTGGCTTCGTTTTGGGTCAGCCCTGCCTGTCCGCTGTTACTGGGCAGCTGTTCGGACTCGTGGAGAGCGGCCAGCCAGGCTGGAGGAATAAATACAGGGGAGCCAGCGCCACGGTGGGGCTGGGGTGGGGGGACAGGCAGCGCCAGCCCCGGGCCTGCTGCCCCTCCGTCCTTCATGGAAGGACACCCTCCTGGCTGGCTCCCTGGGCGGAGGGGGGAGGACGCCCCCCATCCTGCGGGGCCCGCACGGGGCAGGCCGGGCCGCCCGCTCAGAACTTGCCCTGCTTCAGTCGGTCGATGTGGTAGGAGAGCTTGAGCGCCGGCCCCAGCTTCAGCCCCATGTACTTCATCATGACGTCACTGCGCAGCAGGAGCAGGGCCTTGCCGTCGATCTCCTGCGGGCGGCGGGAGGAGGCACGGTCATGGGCGGCCAGGCTAACCCCACTGAGGCCTCCCCCCACCTGCAGTCCTCCAGGCGGTGCCAGCTCCTCCCTCCCGGGCGCCTCTGCTGTCCTTCCCAACGGTGAGGTCCCGCTCAAGCCCGTCTCCTCCTCCAGGAAGCCTCCGTGGATAACATGCCTGTGACTGTCACGGGCGTGCTCCCCGTTGTGCCAGGGCCCACCGGCCACCAAGCTGGTACTGACCCAGCCATTGTGGCAACTTGGGGCCTGATCACAGAGCACCCTCTCTTGGCCACCTGGTGGGGGCAGACGGGGATGACCAAAGGAAGGGGACAGACAGATCTGCTTCACAGAGCCAAATGGCTGAAGAGCACGGCTCAGCAGGGGCTCTGGGAAGAGGCTGTACTCCATGCAGGCTGCAGGGGGAGTCAGTGCCTGGAGCCGGAAGGGCAGCAGCGAGGTCAGCGCCCAGGAAGGAGCAGAGTGAGGAGGAGGCTAATAAGGGGGGAGGCCTGGGGCCTCCCTAATGTGGGCCCAGGCCCTGTGGCTTGTAGGTCAGGGTGGGTAGTTGGGAGAGTGAGCCTCCCTCGGGGAGGAGGTGCACCCTCCCTGGCCTGGCCCTGAGTGCCCAGGCCTCTTTAGGGAGTGACTCAGAGCCCCCCACCGCAGGGCACATTATGGTGCTGTCAGAGCCAAGATGCAGCTTCACCGGGAGACCCAGAGCAAACGCAGAAGCCCATGCGCTGTGGGGGGTTCTGGCCCACAGCTGCAGGAGCAAGACGCCCACCAAGGCTGGACAGGGCAGGCGGGGGCAGCACCTACATGTTTGCGGAAGAGGTCAGCATGGGGGCCGAGCTGAGGGTCCGCGTCCCGGACAAACTGCATCACGTCCTCGACAGTCCACGAGGAAGGGTCCCGGCTATTCAGTCGAGAGGTGTCCCGGCTTTCCAGATATCGCTCTGACCCTGTGGGAGAGGAGGGGCTGAGGTGAGGGGCTCACAAGGGTTCAGGGTCAGGGGTGGGGGAAAGGCAGCTTTTACCTTGGTCTGGAGACTAATTTTTGTTGTTTTCGGGTCATACCCGGTGATGATCAGGGGTTACTCCTGGCTCTGCACTAAGGAATCACTCCTGGAGGGCTCGGGGGACCATATGGGATGTTGAGGATCAAACCCAGGCTGGCCGCTTGCAAGGCAAACACCCTACCCACTGAACTATCTCTCTGGGTCTGGGGACCATTTTTTTTATAAAAAGTAATATGGGGGGCTGGAGCGATAGCACAGCGGGTAGGGCGTTTGCCTTGCACGTGGCCGACCTGGGTTCGATTCCCAGCATCCCATATGGTCCCCTAAGTACTGCCAGGAGTAATTCCTGAGTGCAAAGTCAGGAGTAACCCCTGCGCATCACCGGGTATGACCCAAAAAGCAAAAAAAAAAAAAAAATACGGATTTGTTATTTTTAAGATTTTTTAATTGATTTACTGGGATACAGCCTTTCATGATTTACTTGATAAAGCTGTTCATGATTACGTTTGAGTCGTACAGTGTTCCAACATTCATCCCTCCACCAGTGTACGAGTTTCCCTCCCATCAACCCCTGCCTCCAGCCTGCCTCCATGGCAGGTATGTACCCCCCCCCCCCCCTTTCTCTCTCTCTCTTCCTTTCCCTTCTTCTCTTCCTCCCTGTCTTTGGGCATGTGTTTCGCAATACAGATACTGAAAGGTTGTCAGGTATATATATCCCTTCACCTACTTTCAACACTCAGTACTTGTCCACCGTGATCATTTTCCAGCTATTATTGTCATACTGGTCCCTTCTTTATCTTCCCTAGCCTCTACCTCACACAGACTTGTGGCTGATTACTGGGGACCACTTTTTTTTTTGCTTTTTGGGTCACACCCGGCGATGCACAGGGGTTACTCCTGGCTCTGCACTCAGGAGTTACTCCTGGCAGTGCTCAGGGGACCTTATGGAATGCTGGGAGTTGAACCCGGGTCGGCCGTGTGCAAGATAAATGCCCTACCCACTGTGCTATCTCTCCAGCCCCAGGGGACCACTTTTAAAGAGACTTTGGTAGTCTGGCAAGATTAGAGCCAGATCCTTGGGGCCGAGGGAGAAAAACCGTGATGAATATTAACTCTCCTAAGGCCTGAAGACCAGGGACCTTCACTACAGCCAAACGTGGGACATAGAAAACAGCTCTGCCTTGGCTGCCAGAAATCTCAAGTTAACTCAGTGCTTCCCCATGAAACCCTGACAAGATTTTAATCTAAACCTGGCTCTGAGCGCTCACTTCCTTGTGAGCTTTGGAACATCTGTGTTTTGGCATTCTGATCCGCTCTGCCGGGGACGTGTGTTTCCCTCCCTCTGATTCCTCCTCTTCTCGCATCGATCAGCTAAGGAAGTGCTGGCAGCTTTAGGAATGTTACTTGTCTAATCCCGGAATTCGCCGTCCCACCAAGCATTTCATGTGTCTCCGGCTCTCACTTCTGCATCCCCTTACTTCAGTAACCTCTGAACTCGGGGATCACTCCTGGCAGGCCTGGGGGTGGGGTGTGTGTGTGTGGGTGCGTCATATGCTGGGGAGCAGACCCGGGTCAATTAAGGGCAAGGCAAGTGTTCTACCTATACCTAGTCTCCCTGTTAAATGAAGTAACAGCATCACCCTAGTCTCCCTGCGGGCTCTGTGCCCAGCCTTGCGGGGTACGTGAAGTGAACCCTGAGACCCATGCCAGGCCAGGAGAGCGGAGGGGGGGGCTGCTTAAACGATCTCCGCTGGTGACCCCATCCACCCAAGAAACTTGATGCCACCCCAGGAATATAGGCATAGAAGTACTCAAACAAACCAAATATTTACTGATGATAAATCATGAATTTCTTTTCGCACATTCCACATTCACTTAAGTGACCCCGTATGGGTTCATGGCCCACAGTTTACAGAGTCCTGGTGTGGAAGGTCCCGCAAACAGCAGTTCCTTCCTGACTTCCACTTCCTGTCACTCCCTGGCCCCACCCCCGTTCCTCCCCGTGCCCCAGACGTGCCACTTTCTTGATGCTTCTAGCACAGACTGTACTTTCATCCTCCAACTTGCCATTTCCTGTCTGTAATTTTCTTTCTTTTCTTTTCTAATGTTGACTCCTTACAGAAGCCTTTTCTGACCTCCACGAGACAGTCTTCGATTCCCTACGCCATCCCTTCTCATCTAGTTACCCACCCCACACCCCCGGCACAGACCACTACTTAAAATAATTTCAGCTACCGAGAGTATCTCGCCCGCACGACAAAGCCTGGCAAGCTCCCCGTGGCGTACTCCAGATGCCAAAAACAGTAACAACAAGTCTCACAATTTGTTGTGAGACATTACTGGTGCCCGCTTGAGCAAATTGATGCACAATGGGAAGACAGTACTACAGTGCAGTGCTACATTTGTGTTTATTTATTATCTTCTCTGGGCTGAAGTGATAGCACAGCAGGTAGGGCGTTTGCCTTGCACGCGGCCGACCCAGGTTCGATTCCTCCATCCCTCTTGGAGAGCCCGGCAAGCTACAGAGAGCATCCCGCCCATACGGCAAAGCCTGGCAGGCTACCCATGACGTATTTGATATGCCAAAAACAGTAATAAGTCTCACAATGGAGACATTACTGGTGCCTGCTCGAGCAAATGAACGGGAGGACAGTGTTCCCTTCCCTATTTCCTGGTATGTCCCTGTAACACTGTGATCATAAAAAAAAAGTTTGGTCTTCACTCCTGTTTCTAGCACAAAGCTCACAAAATCCTTGGAATTTTCTAAGTAGAGAGAAATGGAAATGTCTTTTTTTGGGTATATTTGGGGGCCACATCTGGTGGTACCTGGGGGCTACTGAAGGGCCCTGGCAGCCCAGGGCTCACGCTGGCTCTCCTGCCTTTCTATTTTTTGGATGTTTTTGGCCAACCCAGTGGTGCTCAGGGGTTACTCCTGGCTCTGTGCTCAGGCATCACTCTCCTGGTGGGCTCAGGGGACCATATGGGATCCTAGAGATTGAACCCGGGTTGGCCACGTGCAAGGCAAACACCCTACCTGCTGTACGATCTCCAGCCCCCATCTTTCCTACCTTAAAAGTGTTTTTTTTTTAACTTAACGAAGCATTCAGTCATGCCTGAGTGTGTGGCTAAAGTGGATTTTGTAGAGCTCCTAATGGTGGAGAGCCAGCCTTACGATTTTTTAAAAAATTAAAAAAAAATTTTTTTTATTAGTGAAACGCCATGAGGTACAGTTATAGACTTATAAATTTTTGTGCTTGGGTTTCAGTTATACAATGATCAAGTACCCATCCCTCCACCAGCGCCCATCCTCCACCACCACGGGTCCCAGCATCCCTCCCACCCCCCATCCAAAATTTACATACAAGTGGTACTACATGGAAAGTATCATGTTAAGCGAAATGAGTCGGAAAGAGCGGGATAGACACAGAAAGATGGCATTCATCTGGGGAACATAAAACAACAAAACAGGAGACTAACACCCAGGAATGGCTGAGATTCGTACCAGGAGTTTTGCTCCATGACTCGGAGGCCTTAGGATTTTCAATTCCACTCCCAGCTTGTCTTTTCACGCCTTGGCATTGTTCACTGCGCCGAGGCCACTTTTCAGCGCTGCAGGCCTTATGACTGAGTCACCGTGTTTCACAACTCACACATCCCAGGGCTGGGCCCATGGAGGGAGCGTTCTCCTGTGTCCCCAAGGGTGTTTTCAGATCATCCTCCTATGAAAGCTCCTATTCTGCAGAGGTCACATCCAACGGACCTTCTGCTATTCCTGTTCACTGACCTCTGGATCTCCAGGCTTTGACCCTTTGGTAAACAAAGGCCATTGGGCACCCGGCTTGCTTCCTTCTGTTCTATCCCAATCCCTGCCAATTCTACAGAGGTAAGTCATCTGCTTTCTCTCACATTCAACTTCAAACACCAGTCCCAAAGCCTCTCTCTGATTCCTTCCCCCTCCTGGCATGATACCACTTGAGGATTTTCAACATTCTACTTTCTGGCTGTAACTGCCCATCTTCCCAACTCTTGTGTTCTGTCTACTGCAACCACTAGAATCACCAAGAAGCAGCATAATCAAGCTTCAACTGTCCCTCTCCTTCCGTCTCAGCTTTTCTCTCTTCCCTCCTCCGCCCAGACCCGAGGCTTCTAATCTCTCAAGCTCTACCGATTCCTCTATGTCACCCCCCCTGCTCCCTGCTTCATCTGGCCCTACTGCAATCACCCTCCAGCCATCCTTTCTCAACACACATCTTGGTGCCAAAGCAGGAAATCACAGTTCCTGCAAACTGGCAGTCTCCACGTCTAGCTGGGCCCAGTGCTTCCTTTCCCGGTGAGCCTCTTCCCGTTTCCTTAGAACAGTCTTTCAGGACTCCTGGGCTCTTCCTTCCCTAGACCCTCTCATTCGTGCACGGCCATGGTCAGTCTTCCCTGAGTCTGAGAGAACACGGAGTCCCTCCTGCTTCACACAGATTCACCTGTCTGCTTTGGACTGCTCATCTCACCCCTGCCCTGCCCTTGAATTCTTCCTCTCTCCTTTCCTCTTGGTTTCTTTCTCTTGAACACCAAAGTCCTCGGACTGAGAGGCTTGCGCGGTGCTGACTTGGGACCCTCTTTTGAAGGGCGACTGTCCTTCTGTCTCACATCCAGCCCCTGTGCCCACTGCAGTCTGCTCTCACTTGCCAAGGCCACCAGTTACCTGCCAACCGCAGGTCCTGGCAGATGCTGCACTGTCATTACGCTATCCTCTTGCTGCACTGTGCTCTCTGAAAATGCTCCTGGGGGTGACAACATCACCCTCTTCTATCCACTCTCATTTCTTTGTCCACCCTCAAGTCTCCCGAAGATGACTCTTCTGTCATCTGTTCTTCCCACTGGTCACACACTCTCAGGAAGTGGATGTCATTCACCATAGAGTTTCGCCTACCATCTCTTTGCTGATGATTCCCCAATATGTGCCTTTAGCTTAGTTCTCGCCCCTGACACCCAGAGCAGCACCATCACCGCCAGGGCCTCTGAGTATTTTAGGACTTCCCTCCCCTCCTGTTTTGTTTAAGTTTGGTTCCATCTGGGGTAATGACATTAGCAACTCATCCAGCCTCCCCGAGACCCCGGGGGCCATTCCATACTCTTGTCTTGCATCCTTGAACATGACTAAATTTACCTTATGTACAGTTTCAAATCTATTGCTCTACAAACCTCTTACCAGATCTGACCTATTCTAACAACTTACTCTGGCTCTGTCCTTCAAATCCATCCTCAATACATTAGTCATAGGCCTACCAACAATAAATCCTATTTAGATCCTGCCATGAATGAAAAGTCTTCCCCCCCCCCCCCCCCCCGCCAAAGTCTTTTTGGGTCACACCCAGCAATACCCTGGCTCTGCACTCAGGAATTACTCCTGGTGGTGCTTGGGGGACCATGTGGGAAGCCAGGGATCAAATCCAGGTTGGCCACGTCCAAGACAAATGCACTCCTTCCTGGACTATTGCTCTGGCCCCATGAAAAGTCTTTAGTGGCTTCTCACGGCCTTGAAGATCAACACCAAACACTTTCCTCCAGCATTTAGAATCCTCTTCTACAGGGCTGGGGCAGTAGCACAGGGTTGGGGCACAGGCTTTGCACGTGCCACACTGAGTTCTGTCTCTGGCACTGCATGGTTCCCTCAGCACTGCTCAGCCTACACAATGCTGCACTGCTGGGCCCTAGCATCATTCTGTCCAGAGAAGGTGGCCAAGAATTACTAAGAGTGGCCCCTTGGCTCTGGAAGTCTCCCTCCAAATAAAAACATTCTCTACTATATATTCCTGTAATTTCCAGGCTTTTCTCTTTGAAATCCCATACTATATATTTTACTTATTTTGGGGCCACACTTAGAAGTACTCGGAGGTTACTTGTGGACCTGCACTCAGGAATGGCTCCTGGTGGTGCTTAGGGGACCAGATGGGATGCCCGGGACCAACCTGGGTCAGCCGCGTGCAAGATAAGTGTCCTACCCACTGTGCTATCTCTCAAGCCTCAGTAGTTCTACACTGAGTATCAGCAAAACCAAACCACATGCAGTTATTCCTCTACTTGTGCTAAATTGTCTTCTTAGAAAACTCTTCTAAGATGGGTGTGATCCCATCAACGGCCAAGACCCAGAGACTATAAAACTCAGCTCCCAGAAGAGAACAGCGCAGAATCTTCTGCCCCGGCGCCTGACTGTCCTCGCTGGGGCCCCCTGGAGGGGGGTGGGTTGAGTTTCTCTCCCCGCCCCAAGCAGAGCCCTGGCAGCCGAAGACCTCCAGAACCAGCCACAATCATGCTGAGACCAATCTCCACAAGCATGAAGGTACTGGCAGAGGAACAAAGGCATGCGGGTCCCGGGGCTGAGATCTCCAAGCCTGCTCAAATCGGTGCTGAGCATCCTCCACCCAGATCCTCTATCTTCCAGTAGGCAGGGGTCACACCCACCAACTGCCCCCGGTGCCAGGTAATCCCATCAACGGCCAAGAACCAGAGACTATAAAACCCAGCTCCTGGAAGACATCTTATTATCTCATTCTTGCTTTGGACAACCTGGCAGGCTACCGAATGTAACCTGCCCACACAGCAGAGTCTGGCAAACTCCCCGTGGCATACCCAATATGCCAAATACCAGTAACAATGATGGATCTCATTCTCCTAACCCTGAAAGAGCCTTGAATATAGCACTTTTTAAAATCTCAGGGCTAGGGCGAAGGAGATGTTACTGGTGCCTGCTCGAGGCAATCGACAAACAACAGAATGATCATGATCGTGAGAAAGCTCTTCTACACTCCTATCTCTGATACGGACATTCACACAATTACCCTCTGGAGTGGGGTGGGTAACCTTTTATTGTCTCTGCCAAGGGCCATTTGGATATGTGTGCCATCAGCAGCAGGCCACATAATACGGGTGGGAGGACTGTGGGCAGCACATATACAGACCCTCTGAATCCATGGTCCTTATTCGGCCTGCAGGTGGGACATGCCCCACCCTGGCTCTAAAGTGCCACAGTGTCCCTCTGAGTTTGAGTCAGGTGTGCCTTGTAGCTTGCTCAGACTGCCCAAACCAAATCTGTGAGTTCAAGATTGTGTCTCAGAGCGACAGTGCTTGAGTATGGGTCTCCCCTGCAGGCTGGGAGCTCCTTCAAGGAAAGGAGGGATGGATTTTTGCATCCTGATGGCAGTGGATGGTGTTCAGACCCTCGCTCCTAAGTTAATGGAGAGATCCCACCCTCTCTGTCCCTCTGGCTCTGGGACTGGGGTCTTGGCTTCCATTACTAAATGCCCAGAGCTTCTGTTATCTCCCAAGAGCCGAGGACCCCGGTCAAGAGCCAAAGACCCCGATCTAAACAGTAAGCAGTGGTTGACTGAGCTCATTCCTGAGGAAGGGACGGGGAATGAGTGCAGGGCTGGAGCTTACCCCTGGACAACCGGCGCACGGCTGAGGCAGAGCTCAGTGGGTGGCCACAGGCCGGAAGCAAAGGCCTGTATCCAGTGGTTCGAAGATTCTGGGAGGAGCTGACGAGGTTGGTGGGGTGCAATGTAGAGTCCATTGAGTCCGAGTGTGGCTCCAGGGACCGGGCCAGACTGTTTCCCAGGACAAAGGTTTCACCTGGAAAATAGGAAGGGCAGGATGAGAGCAGAGACTATCAGAGCAGGCCCAGCACTGGCGCAAAGGGCCTTGTCTGGGTGGTCCCAGAGGAGGCCCAAACAGGAGGCCGGTGTAGCTGCCCTCACGCTGGCTCTCACGGGTTGACTTCAGTCAAGTCCAGTCACCGTCTGGACTTTGGTCCCCTGAGAAACTTTTTTTTTTTCTTTGTGAAGTTTTAGTTTTATGGTTTGGCTTTCTGGGTCCACCCGGGGATGCTCAGGGGTTACTCCTGGCTCTGCACTCAGGAATTACTCCTGGTGGTGCTTGGAGGACCATATGAGACACCGGGGACAGAACTTCGGTCCCCTGCATGCAAGGCAAATATCCTATCTGCTGTACTATCACTCCAGCCCCTTCCCCCTGAGAGACTCTTCCTCCTAGAACTGATGGTCTGGTCTGAAGAGGAGAACCTCATTAAAACTTGGCTAGGAGTCACACCTACCATGCATCTGATGTGAGGAAGATCCCCAACCCCCCAGCACCACTGGGTGTGTCCTGGACCTCCAGGCACAAAGCCCAGGCTGCCTTGCACAGGACTGCCAGTCGTGTTGGCCAAGATTCGCCATGGGACCCCTGGACCTCCTGAACCCTGCTCTGAGCCCTGTCCCCTGAAATAAAAGAAAAATGGAGTTTTCTATGATCCAGGAGACTGCCTTGCAGGTAAGAGGCCAGGGCAGGGAGTTGGGATGCGAGGGAAGAGCGACCTTTGCTTGGATGAGGGTGCCTAGGAGATGACCCCCTGCAGTGTCAGTAGGACATCTTAGAGATGCTGTGTTAGGAGGCCTGGCTAGAGGGCTGGGTTCAAAGGGCCCATGCCATGTGTGCACCCTTGTTTCAGATTTGCTTCATTAAACAGAAAAATCCAAGGGAGCCGGGATGGCTGAGTGGGGTGAGCAGGGTGTGGCGCTCGGGAGGTGGGGTGGAATTCGGGTCTGCCACTCAGACATTTGGTTTCTGCCAGCAGACAGCCTCCCCGTCTAGAACGGGAGAAGCTGCTTTGATGATGGTCAGAGAACAGCAATAATGGTCTTTGTCAAGGGACTCTCATCCTGACAGTCCCATCCACACCAGGCAACGCCCCTAATCCTTTTCCACGGGATCACCTGCAGACACTCTCTCTGGATGGGCTCTACGGACACCTCAGCTCCTCTGCCCTGGCCGCGATATTCTCTGCCCCTGCAGAGGGGCCCAGCCACTGAGCTGTCACATTGTCCTTTATGGGTTTCCTCAGCTACTGGACAGAGCTGCTGCTCAGGATTCACTCAGGGACTCTGGTGATCGCTCTATTCTAGCACACTGGTCTGCAGTATGACTTCTGTGTTTAGAAGGTGAAGGGTTTTTTGTACTGCTGTAAAGAATCACGGAAACAGGCTTGATACCCAAGGGCTTAAAGTCAGACTGAGCACGAGACAGTGATTTACCCTTATCTCCCGGAGCTGAGAAAATTATAAATCCACATACTTAAGCTGCTTAAGGAACCCTGAGCACAAAAGGCAGAAAGGAAAAAAAAACCTATTAAGGCGCAGCATCATAAAACCCAGGATAATCAAAAAGCCCGCAAGAGCAGCCAGAGAACAAAGACTCAGGCATGAGACCAACGGGGAGGAGAGATAGCAGAGTCTCATTTTCTCTGAGTGTGAAGCCACGGTGATAGGTCAGGAAAGGCACCACAATGGCAAGGGCAGAGGGGAGTGGCCACCCTGGGCAAGGACTGGGTGCTGAAAGGAATGCAGGACCCTGTCGGTAAACCACAGTGCCTCAAAAGGTAAAAGGGAAATAGTGCCCACCAGAGAGGGAGGCCTGGGGGCTGGCGGGAAACTGGGGACACTGATGGAAGGCAGTGGCAGTGGGGAAGGGCTTCGTGTTTGAACACTGTATGTCTGAAACTTGAGTAACTTTGTAATTCACGGTGATTCAATAAAAGAATAAAAAGAAGAGTGGCAGCAGACCTTTGTGGCAAGCTAGAAGACAGCATGGTGGTATCTTTATTTTCATTTATTTTTAGGGGGCTGGAGCGATAGCACAGCGGGTAGGGCGTTTGCCTTACAAGCGGCCAACATGGCCGACCCGAGTTCGATTCCTCCGCCCCTCTCGGAGAGCCCGGCAAGCTACCGAGAGTATTCGATATGCCAGACACAGTAACAACAAAGTCTCCAATGGAGACGTTACTGGGCCCGCTCGAGCAAATCGACGATCAACGGGAGGGCCTTTACCTTACCTTACCTTTACCTATTTTTAGGGGGGGCTGGAGCAATAGCACAGTGGGTAGGGCGTTTGCCTTGCACGCGACCGACCCGACGACCCGAGTTTGATTCCTCTGCCCCTCTCGGAGAGCCCGGCAAGCTACCGATAGTATCTCGCAGCATGGCAAAACCTGGCAAGCTCCCTGTGATGTATTCGATATGCCAAACACAGTAACAACAAATCTCACAATGTTACTTGCCCTGCTGGAACAAATTGATGAACAATAAGGGGGACAGTGCTATTTTTAGGGGGTGCCAGAGATCAGATCAAGGGCAACAGCATTATTTTTAAAGTGCTAAATAACCACAAAAAAGTGGGAAAAAAAAGACAAAATGAATCATTCTAGAGATACATAGGGGCTGGAGCAATAGCACAGCAGGTAGGGCATTTGCTTTGCATGCAGCCAACCTGGGTTCGATTCCTCTGTCCCTCTTGGAGAGCCCAGAAAGCTACCGGGAGTATCCTGCCCACACGACAGAGACTGGCAAGATCCCTGTGGCGTATTCGATATGCCAAACAAGAAGCCTCACAATGGAGACATTACTGGTGCCCGCTTGGGCAAATCGAAGAACAATGGGAGGACAGTGCTACAGTACTACAGAGATATAAAAGCTGAAAGTACTCAATGCCAGTGGACTACAATGATAAGAAATGTTCAAAGGAATCCTTCAGGCAGAGAGAACATGATGATTAAAAAAAAAATCTCTGGCTTTATACCAGGGAATAAAAATTTCTCAGGAAGGGTCCCCTGAGCTGAAGAGTGATTCCTGAGCACAGAGCCAGGAGCAAGCCCTGAGCACAGATGGGTGTGGCCCCAAAGCCAAGCCAAAACAAAACCCCCAAGTAACTTATTTGAAGTATCATGAATTTGGGGACTCTGGCAGGAAAATGTCTTTATGACTAGCTCAGAAGACCTTGCTGGCAACTAGAAAGACAGGGATAAGGAGCTCATTGTCCAGGCAAATAGGATCCTCTAGCAGAGAGGAACCTGGACAATCCCCCAAGGGCCGACCCAGGGGTTAGTGCTGGATAGATTTTCAACTACCGCTAAAGTAATGCACTTTCCCCAGTATTATCAGGTTTGTAAGGAGTCAGAGGAACTCCCTCTCACTGCGCACAGTCCCAGGCCCTGCCTGTGCTGCATTCTGAAGGGACTTCGGGGTTGTGTCCTCCAAGAATCCTCCCTTGACCTCTTGTTTCACCTGACTCTGGGCAAGGCTGCCTCTGCTCCAACCTCTCTGCACGGATTTTACTCGCATCTCTCTCTCTCAGCTGGGGACTGTTCCCAAGCAGAGCCAGAGTCTGCTTCATCTCTGTCTCCCACAGTCCGACACCGGGTCTAGGACACTGAGACTGACAAATGCTGCCCGGCCCGAACGAAGACAAGTGACTTGGATTCCTCAAAATGCCAGTGTTATGCCATGGCAGACACGAGTTCTTTGCTTTTCGGAGATATCTACAGGAGGAGTTACAGGTCAAGTCTCACGTTCAGTTACTTTCCAGTGGTTCAGTAAATTAACAAAATACAAATATATAGGTGCGAGACGTACTATTTTATAATACACAGACTTAAAAAGGAAAGAAAGGAAGCACCGCAAACAAGTTAAGTGGTCAACGCAGGCAAAGAATGCCTGGGTGCTCGTTATATCATTTGTCCAAATTTTTGCAAGTTTGCAATTTTTTTTCAAACCAAAACACGGGATGCAAAAAGGTAGCCTCAGCGTCAGTAAGGAAGCACTTGATGGCGATATTCATTCTTGTTACATCATCTGCAGCGGGTGGGCAGTTGGGAGAGGACCTTAAGGGGGAGGCGAGTGTGCAGAGGGACAGGCTGGCGAGAAGGCAGAGGGCTGCATCCGCTCCTGCCTAACCGAGTGGGCCTGCAGACCTCCAACGGGCAGAGGGGCACCGTCCGGCAGAAGGGAGTCTAGGGGGTGATGCAGTGGGTAGAGCCAGCGAGAGCCCCTGTGGAGACCAAGCAGTAGGCAGCCAGGAAGACTCAGAGGTGGAGCCCGGGGTCAGCAGGCAGGCAGGAAAGGCGAGGGAAGGAGCACGGCAGAGTTGGAACCGCAGGCGGTGTTTTGGCTTGTCTGGGCATAGTTGAAATGCTCACTTCAAGGAAGTAAACAGACGGGATGAGAGCAGCCAAGCCGCCGCGCACCCGTTGTGAGACGTGGGTTAGAGAACGCGGGAGGTCAGCACTAAGTTGGCGGGCTCAGTTTGAAAATGAGGGCCGAGAGGATGGAACGCGGTAACGTGGGTTTTTGTCCTTTTCTTGGTGAGGCACAGAGCAGGGGAGGCTCAAGCTGGCTTCTTCTCACCCGGGAGAAGAGTCAAGGAACAATTCCCAGACACGGTTGTGCCCCAACCCCAAATGACCTCAGAGTGCAGGCCCAGGCCCTGCAGGTCCCACGGGTTCTACCAGCACGTTGCTTCTGGTTTTAATGATGATATTTCATTTGAGAACTGGGTCCTAAACAGTGCCAGCGGCTACAGACCTGCTCCCCGCAATCACGTCCCCATGTGGCCAGGTCCCAGGGGAGACCTAATTCGAGTACTCCGGTGCAGCTCAGTGTCCAGAAGGCCATTTGGGAACTTGTAAACGGGGCTGAGCATTTACTAAACCACCTCTGCCTCCAGCCAGCCTTCTCATGCCCAGCCCGGACTTCTAGTATAACAATCGAAACGCAAGAAATTTCCCCTTTGTTCTCTGAGATTCTGATGCTAAAAGAAAGCAACCTTGGGCCAGAGAGATGGCACAGGCATTAAGGTGCATGCAGGTGATCCTGGTTCCAATCCCTGGCAATGGCGTAAGGTCTTGAGCCCCAAACTGGCTCTGCTGCCCCGGTGACACCCTCATTCCCTGCCCCAAAGGAACAAAAAACCAACCCAACAAAATAACAACCCAACAAAACTGGAAGCAGCCTAAAGTAGATTAGGTTGAGAAGTTATCCCTGAACAAAAGAAATCAGGGGATGGGTCAGAGATACGCCTTCAGGGCCCATGCAGGCTAGACCATTCAAGGAGGAGTAGAGAGTCCCGTTTCTCCTTGCAAGCCACTGGAGAAACCCTTCTCTGGGGTGCAGGAGGGAGAAGCGGGCAGAGTGGGTGAGCAGTCACGTTCCCAACAACATTTTCTGGGAGTGGCACTTTAGTAGAAAGGATTCTGCTGGGACTCCGTGGAAAAGACAGGGGCTGAAGGGAAAGCACAATGAGCTGGGCTCAGGCACTGCAATGCAGGGGGCCTGGGAGCTTGAACCCCGAATGCCACTGGGAATGACCCCAGAGCACCACGCCAGGAGTATTCCCCAAGTAGAAACAAAAAGAAAACCAGCAAGGCAGTCTGGGGACGAGACTGACGCAGAAGGCTTGGAAGGGGGCGCCTTTTCGACTTAAGCTCCCTCCCGCCACTGACAGCACCACCTCTTTTCTCCCTTCTGGGTCGGACAAGGTCACGGGCTCGTGAGAGGGTTTCCTTCCTGCTCCTAGCCATGAACCTACCTCGCTACGTGTAGGGTTGAGTTTTCCTTCCCTCCCCGTTGTTCTGTGTCCCGGGCTCCAGGTCCCAGAGGCAGAGTTCCATTCACTCCTTAACCCCTCTCGGAAGTGCTTAGTCACTGATCTGGCCACGTGGCATCCGCTCTCCCCTTCGGGATCTCATACGTTCGCTCAGAAAGTTATTTTCCAGCTCAGTTAGAAACAGCAGGAACTTGAATTGACTTGCCAGACTGGCAGTGCTGGAGGAGTGAGGGCCACGTGCCAAAGGAAAGAGAGGATGGCCAATCACGGGGCGAGCGGATTTCCCAATCTGGAGACGGAACAAAATCTTCCTGCTGGCAGGGGAGAGTGCCTGGAGGCCTCTGCTGCCAGGTCCCTAGTGGGTGACGGGCCAGGGACTGCTTGGTGGCTCCCCGTGCGGCTTGGAGCTCAGGAGGGGATCGCGGATCACCTTTTTCTGGGTGTAAAAATCCCCGGAAAAGAAGGTGGGTCCTGGACAAAATCCTGAAAAGAGTCCAGATGAGGGGGGGCGGGGAGCGAAGGCGTTCTCAAGGGGGCAGAGGTGAGGGCCCACACACCCGCCTGCTGGGATGGCTGGTGTCAGGCTGGAGGGTCTGACGGTGGTCCTGGGCTCCCCGGCAGGCGCTGCTCACTAACCCTGGCCCCTTTGAACCCAGGCCCCATCCCAGCTCCTACCTGGTAGGTACCTGTCGTGACTATGGCTGTACTCGGCGGCGGACAGTGACAAGTGGGTCTGGCTAAAGGGCTGGTTGCCAAACAGATTCTCACTTCGGAGGTTGCGGCAGAGTTTCTCCAGAAAGCGGAGGACGTAGGTGATGCTGTTGACCGCCGGGAGGTTGAGGGTGTGCTGCTCCCGGTCAAACACGGCTGCGGAGTGAAGCAAACAGGGCTGAGCATGTCGGTGGGGCTGTGCGGTGCAGCGCTGGGCAGGAGGAATCCAGCCCACTGCCTGCCTCCCACTTACCTGCTTCCACAAAGGCGATCCATGCCCGCTTTCTTTCCTCCCTCCCCGCCGCCAGTTCCTCCCTCAGGGTTTGATTTTTTTTTTTTTTTTTTTGGTGCCTCCACCTAGGGCTTGCAATAGTGGGAGTGGCCAGGCTGGGTCTGTTTCATCCGGGATGCTGGAATGATTTTAATCAACTTGTGAAAACAACCGTGAACATAATTCTATCTCCTCCATCACTTGGCTCGGCCTCCTCCAGGAAATCTGTTCACTGAGGGCACCCATTCAATAGGATCAGAGAAGCCGGGCAGGAGAGGAGAACGCGGCCATTGTCAGCCCCGGCTTGGGTGTACAATTCAACCAGGGATGAGGGCACTAGGATTTCAGCCAGGTTGGGAATGATTCCACGCCGGGGTTGATTTCTGTTCCTATTTGCTTTAAACACGTCTCCATAATTCCTGAAAAGCAGAAGAGCTCTGGACTTGTCTCTGGGGGCAGCGAGGAAACAGGGAGGTCGCTGGCCCTCAGGAACCAGTTTGGGGGCAGAGAAAGAATCCTAGATGAAGGTCAGAGGCTTGCAGTTAAAAAAAGGTGGTGAAGAGTGTCAGGCCCTGTCATGCTGCAGAGAAACAAAGGGCATGGTGACCGGAGGCCTCAGGCCTCGGAAGGACAGAAAGGCTGAATTTCCAGTTCTCAGCACTCAACAACATTCTCTCCCAGCTGCTCCCCTCGGCAGGAGGTCAGTTGCTCTCAACTACTCAGCTCCAACACCACCCGCGCGCACTTCTCTGCTAGAACACAGTGCTGACAGTGAGCTGCGAGAGTTTCCTGCGGGCCAGCGCTATTTTCCTTTCCTCCTCCTCCTCCTCCTCTGGCCAGGATCTGGCTAGAACCTCAGAGACAGCCGTCAGGGCTCAATAAATACTTGCGAAAAGAATCGAGCTGCTTATTTCTGGGGTCTTCTGAGTCAGCTGGGTTTCCTCAACGGGTGGGAGGGAGGAGGAGGAGGATGTGGAGGGGTTACACAGGGGCATTTAGTCTGGGCTGGGACCGTCGAGTGAGGCCAACTCCTCACATGTCTGGAGAGTCAAGGGCAGAGTTTAGGACTTGGGATGACTAAAACAGACAGTGTAACACGGGAGAAAAAAAAAAGCGAATTTTCTTTCTAAAAACAAAGGGGGGTAGGGGGGAATGTGCAGTTGAGTCCAGCAGGAAAGAAAGAAAAAATGATTCTCTGAACCCTGCCCTGGGCCTTGGGCTAAGGACTGGGGAGTAAAAGAGAGAAGCAGAAGGTCTGTAAGCTCTGGGCTCTCCTGAAGGCCACGGGAGGCGGATGCTGACGGGAGGAACTCCTGACACCACCACACGGCCCCCTCCGGGTTCTTTCTTCTGAACTGTTTTTCGAGTACCACACTCATACTCCTCCACAGGGGAGAAGTTAAGCACAAGAAGGACAGGGCAGCTAAGAGGAGTCAGCTGAGAGGCTCAGTTGGTCGAAGGTGTTTTCTGCTAGGCAACCCTACGGGCAGGGCCTGGAGGGGCTCTGGAGAGGAGTGGGGTTGGGGAGGGGGGACTCTCTGAGGAAGAGAGTGCTCACACTTCTCCAGAACCTACACAGGCATGAAGCTGGACCCGGGTGCGCTGCCAGAAACGCATCATCATCGGTTGAGGTTTGCCCTGTGGCCAGGAGACAGTCAGTCCAGGCCCAAGGGTGCTTACCTGAGATCACCTCACCCCCATGGCCCTGTTTGAGGAAGCTGAAGACGGTTTTCTGGTGATAAGCACAGTCGATGCAAGCCTGGACAGCCTGTTGCAACACCACAGAGGCGCGGGCCGGCCCAAAGTGGTCAGGGAGCTGCTGGACCTTCTTCTTGTCTAAGTGGGGGCCCGTGCTGCCGTTCTTGTTCAAGTAAATACAAACTGTGGGAGACAAAGAGGCAAAGAAGCTGACTGCGCGTCCCTTAGGGCAGAGGGTCAGCCCGCCACCCCCCACCTTCTCTGCCCGGACTCCCGGGCAGCCCGGCTGCTGCCAGTCCCGGAGGCATGGCCAGAGGCTCTAGGAACACAGCCTGCTGGGAGGACAGTCCAGATCCGACGCCACAGCACACAGCTTGTTCTCTGCGTGGCTCATTCAAAAGCACATGGGAAGGACCTCACAGGCGTCTGCACTTCCTTTCTAGCTGCCTCACGTGCTCGTATCTCTCATGTAGAAGGAGCTGTGGGACCATGGCAGCGTGGGCACGAGTGTGTTTTGTGTGTGTGTGTGTGACAGCATCGGTCACTTGCTTTACTTCCTACTCTAGGCCTTGGAGTCCCTTTGTTATCTTCTGTATCAATATGCAGCCCCCCCCCAAAAAAATGAGTAAAAACAGAAAAATCAAAAGGGCTGGAGTATCTGATTTATACCTCAGTTCACGTGGTAATAACATACTGTTTCTCTGGTCAGGACAGCTGGGCCATCTCCTACACTGGTGGGGAGGCCAGCACTGACGGGTAATCCTCAACCACAACTTCCTTGGGCCTGGAGAGGGCTCTGATGTAGGCACACTTAGTAATGTCGGGAGCTACTCCTGGCTCAATGGGGGTGAGGGGTGTGGACACACTCAAGGCAATGGCCTCCCCACCGCACCTCTCCCAACCCCCTGGCCCGGCCCCAGGCTTTGCCCTTCTCCTGTTGATCTGCTGTGGGAGCTCTTCTTTCTCACACTGTCATTGCTTCCTCATGGGAAGGGCAAGGAGGGGAAAGTGCCTTTTGCTTTTAAGGATTAGGCAAAAAGTTGCCTTTCCATGGGCTGCGGAGAGACTGCTGACCTCAATCCTATCATTTGGAAAATAAGGGGCTAGTAAGCCAGTAACTCTGAGGATTCTTCTCAATCTAAGGGGGAGAAAGAGATAGAAGGAAATAAGGGAATGAAAGTCAGTAAGGTGGAGGTAGGGTAAGGAAGATGAGTGAAGGGAAAAAAAGAAAGTGGGGGTGGGGGTAAAAAGATGAATAGGAATATACCTTTAACTCGATTCTCTCCTAAACTCCACTAAGACAAGCCAGAAAGCAAGAAAGGAGATAGCATAAAATTCGGGAAACTTTAAAGCGGACTGGCCAAGCAGCAATAGATTTAGCAGACTCAAGAAAGCATCTGATAATTTAGAAAAGGCCCAAGAGGAGAGAGACAGGTGTCTCTGGAGGTGGGTGTGAAGCCAGAGTTAATTAAAGAAGGACTGGTTGAAGTCGGCTGTGAGATTCTAAGGATTTCTGTGTCATAATAACATACTTTACTGGAGACAAAAAAAAAAGAAAAAAGAAAAAAATCTCCACGATAAAGTAGAGTAGCGAAAAATAAATGAAAACATATGTCTGAGAAAACACAGGAAATGTTCACAGCACCTCAGTCAAAATAGTCTCAAAGTAGAACCAAACCCAGATGTCCATCAATAAGAGATGAGAAACGCGAGTGGTGGGAGAGGCGTTTCTGGACTACTTGGCAGTAAGAGAGAGGCGACTCTTGCCAGGGTGCCTCTCAAAACATTATTTTGAGGCAAAGAGACAGAGACGAAGAGATAGCCTAATTCTATTTTTATTAAGATCAGGACAGGAAAGTGTAGCCAAGAGTGACAGAAAGCAGAATAAAGATGAGACTACAGACTAACTGAGGCAGGAGGTAACTGCTGGTGCCGCCGGAGGACTCGACTCTGGCTGTGGATTCAAGGGTGCTCAAAAGGACTGAAATTCACCAAACCGTACACTTGGAATTTATAAAGTAAATGTAAGAATAGGAAAAAATACAGTCAGTTCAGTGATGATTAAAAATATTAAAAAATTTTTTTCAGGTGGATTTCTCCAGGGCTTAATAGATGAAACGATAAAATCTGTAGAATACTGGGGCAGTTTTAGAACATGGCCCCCCAGTTCCTTGCCATCCCTGCACTCACACTCTATCACACTGGACAAATGTAGACAACGTGGACATCACACACTGTCAGCTGAAGGAACTGGCAGTCTCCACTCCTGCTGGACACTCACGCTTGGAATCCAATTACCAAGTGTGAGGAGACAAAGTCACCCTGTGCTGAGAGAAGCCAACAACGGGAGTGACCGTCGGGCATGGTGGATGTGCACCTCCCGTCCTAGTCAAGTCCCCACAGCTGACAGTGCACTGAACAGACACAGCTACTGCCGCTCTGTCCCACACAGACTGTTTTCCAGGCTCATTGGAAAATTTATAACAAATGGATAAGACTCACTTACTTAAAAAATTTAAGGTAGCACTGATTTACAATTCGGTGTTGGTATTGTAATTTCATACCTCTTCAAAATATGTTACCAAATCAACCATACCCATCGCCTTAGTACCAACAACCCCTAACCACACATTTGGATCCTTCCTTCCTCCCTCCGCTCCTCCACTCCTATCCTTCCCTCCTCCCCTCTTTTCCTCTCTGCCTTCCCTCCTTCTTTCCCTTCCTTCTTCCCTCCCTTGTACTTCTCCTTCCCTCCCTCCATCCCTCCCTCTTTTTTTCTCTCTTTTTGGGACCATACCTGGCTGTGTTCAGGGATCACTCCTGGTGGTACTTGGGGGACAAAATGCAGTGTCAGGAATCAAACTGGGATCAGTTGTGTTCAAGGCAAGTACTTAACTCCAGTCTCTGAACTTCTTTTAAGTTTTTGTTTTTAATTTGGAAGGTGGGGGTCGAGCAATAGTATAGTGGGTAAAGAGGTTGCCTTGCATGAGGCTGACCTGGGTTTGACCCCCAGCTCCCCAAATGGTCCCCTGAGCCTGCTGGGAGACTATTCCTGAATGCAGAACCAGGAGTAACCCCTGAGTACTACTGGGTGTGGTTCAAAAAAACAAAAAAAAGAATTTTTATAATATTAATAATATTTAATATCTGGAGTGCTGCTGCTTCATGCCCACTGCCAGAGTGCTGAGATCCCAAGGTCATTGTCTCAAGGTCTAGCATCTCTGTTACTTTAGCATCCTGAGATCACAGTTCTGCTGAGAAAATCTTGGGGTTTATTTCCAGTGGGGACTGCCTAATTTCTTTTTTTTTTTCTTTTTGGGTCACATCTGGCAATGCACAGGGGTTACTCCTGGCTCTGCACTCAGGAATTACTCCTGGTGGTACTGGGAATCGAACCTGGGTGAGCTGCATGCAAGGCAAACGCCCTACCTGCTGTGCTATCACTCCAGCCCCTGCCTAATTTCTTATGTTGTTTTCTTAAACTTCACATACGAGTGAGATCATATGGCCTTTGCCTTTTTATTTCTGACTCCCTTCATTTAGCATGTCATCCTCCAGTTCCATCTAAGTTGTGTCCAACCTCATGATTTCATCTTTTCTCATAGCCAGCAGTATTCCATTGTACACACAGATGACAATTTCTTTCATTTCTTTACCTATTCATCTGTTATTGGACTTGGGTTGTTTCCAGAGCTTGGCTACTGTAAAGAATGTTGTGATGAACATACGTGTGCATGTGTCCTTTAAGAGGGGTGGTTTTGTGTTGTTGGGGTAGATGCTCAAAGATAAAAGTGCAGGGGAAGCTTAATTTTTCTCCAAAAATTTTCCAAAGAGACTGCACATAGAAGCAACAGTTCTAGCAGCAGTGAATGAGAGTTCCATTCCAGCCACATTCCTGTCAGCACCCGGTGATTCTGGACTTTTGGATATAGACCATTCTCACTGGGGTGAAGTGACATCTCATTATTGTATTGATTTTCATATTCCTGGTCATCAGTGATGAGGAAAAATTTTGCACATGCCTAAAACTATGGCTCTCTCTCTCTCTCTGTGTCTCTCTCTCTGTGTCTCTTTCTCTGTGTCTCTGTCTCTGTCTCTGTCTCTCTCTCTCTCTCAATCTCTCTGTCTCTCCCACTCAGCTATGCTCAGATAGACAGAAGAACCAGGCAGGGCTCTTAAACCCAGGGAGATGGCAGGACTAGGCAGGGCTTAGACACCCAAGGGTCTCAACTACATGCATGTGGCCATGGCCAGAGACTAACAAAAGTTGAGACATCAAGGAATCTCTGGGGTACTGTCCTCCAGAGCCCCAGCAACAAGATTTCAGACTGGAAAAGTGTACACAGAATAGAGAACAGTTTAGGGACAAAACTAGGCATCATACACTAGAAGTGAGGGGGTGTCAAGGGACAGGACTTAGGGCTTCATACACTGGATCGGGCATTGAGGGATAGGATGAATAATGCCATACTTGGGCTTTTGGTTTTTTCTTCCCCCCCCCCCCCACACACACCTTCTTCTTCTTTTGTTACTCCTGGCTCTACACTCAGGAATCACTTCCTGTGATGCTCAGGGATGAGAGATACTGGAGATCAAACCTGGGTCGGCTGAGTGCAAGGCAAGTGCCCTACCCACAGGACTATCATTCTGGCCCTAAACTAAAGCTTCTGGGTTTTTGTTTGTTTCTTGGTTTTGGGCCATGCCCAGCGATGCTCAGGCCTTACTCCTGGCTCTGCACTCAGCGATCAGTCCCGGTGGTGCTTAGAGGAACCAGATGGGTTGCTGGGGATTGAACCTGGGTCAGTTGCATGCAAGTTAAGTGCCCACCCACTGTGCTATCTTTCTGGTCCTCTTAGTATTGTATACAAATCTTTTATATGATTCTCAAAAATTCACAAGCTCAAGAAAAAAAATCCATTATCATGCTAACAGAGAGACCAAGAGACCAACACACAGGCAAATATTAATCACGCTAATGGATGGAATGCCATCAAACTTTTGCAAATGGGGGAGCCTGGAAGAGGGTGGTCCCCAACACTGCTGGGTCTGGGCATAGGGCCTTCAGGCACTGACACAGGACAGTCAGGAGAGGCTCCTGGGCCCTGGAGAAGCACCCAAAAGACCTTAAAGTCTGAGAGAACTTTCCTGGTGGTGAAGCTCCATGTACACTGTCACAGCGAGGC